TCACTCGCTCTTAACCTCAACCCCAGGCTTCCCCTTGTAAAACGCCACAAACCCCTTGATCTTATTCATACTCTCCTTTGGCGTCGCATAATACCATGCCGCATCTTTCACCTCGGTCTTGTTCGTCGTCACTGTGTAGTAGCTTGCGTCGCCCTTGTAAGGGCAGTGTGTTTTGGTCGACGTTGGGCTAAAGTGGGAAGACTTGATGGCATCGGGTGGGAACTATGGGGTGTCAGGGGGGACGAGGATTAAAGATGGAATTTTGATGAAAGAGGGGGAGTTATGACGACGGCAGACTAACATAAATGTTTCCGTCGACGACCTCCCAGGTATCGGTCTCTGCGACTACGACACCGTTTACGGTTGCGGTTGCGTGAGGCATATTGTTTATTTGTGTATGTTTGACAACCACAGAAAATGTATAAAGAGAATCAGTAAGCTAAGATGGATGAGTGGTTGGTTGTGAATCTAAGTGAGCAACTCGGGTCGAGTTATGCTTTTATATTTTGTAGCCTGTTTGTAGTGTCGTTGATTGCTTTTGTCTCAACCCACTATATAGCTTTATCGATAGGTAAGCTCGAGCGGGGTGACGCGCAGGCAATGGCATCATCACTTCCTCCATTGAGCTTACATTTTGACACGTGAGATGTCGGGGTTCCGCGGGCGTTGGAGAATGTCACCGAGCCAGGTCTAGTCGGACGGCGGAACATTTGTTGCGCCGACAGTAACTTACACTGGACTGGTCTCATGCCTACCTGAGAATCTTCTACACGTGAAGAATCCAAGGTGTGGAATATAACAATGATGAATTCTCCCAAGCACAGAGTGCTCCTATAACGCCGGTAAATGCTCGTGGTCTTTCATAACAAAAATGAAAAGCATTTGGATCATGCATCCACAGCCATCATCATCGTGTCGTCGCCGTCGATACCAACGGCTGGTGGCTCAATCATAACACCTCTTCCTCTGCCCTCAAGCAATTCTCTCCGTACTTCGCCACTGATACTCTTGTGACCTCTCGTAAGCAGCAAGTCCAACAAAGCCTCTCTTTGATCCTCTGTGATATCGTTTCTGTATCTCTGGGCAAAAGCGAGCAAGCACTGATGCCAGATGACTGGCAATTTGCCCGTGTTTCCTAGATCGCCGGCTACAGACTCCGTATCCATGGCGTCGGCGCTGCTTGCTCCCACACCTCGGAAGCGCAGGAAGTGGAAGACGAGCGCATCGATGACCTTGAAGGGCAGCGCGTACTTCTTCTCGAGCAGCGTCTTGATGAAAATATTGCAGGGCCCGGCGGCATCGGGATCAGACGACATTTGCTCGGCGGCAATCTCACAGAGGCGGTGCAGGGCGGCAGCCGAATGTAGGACGGGAACGGAGATCTTGGCTACGACCGAGGCTACAATGACGGCGTCGCGCTGTGTGCAGGAAACATCGGTAAGCATAGGGAAGACGACACCCTTGAAGAAGGCGCTGGGCTTGTAGAGGGCCTTCTTCAGCGCATTGTACAAGTGTACGTTCAGCTTGTGTGTTTCCCGGATGTTTTGTTGCACTAACGGAAGCAGAATAGTGTTCATGAAGATCTGGGCCGTCTGTGGCTTTGCTGAAACGAAGATTCGGGTGGCAGCGAAGGTAGCGTTCGGAGTCCAGTCATCGGGGCGTGTAATTGCGACGAGGGTTTCCCAGGCGGGGATTGTAGGGAGGATCTTGAAAGGCTTGGGCAGTTTCCCGCTCTTGTAGCGGCTCAGGATCAAGCCAATCTTTGAGTATACTGTGCAAGCTTAGCAGTGTAATCAGTTTGTGCAATGAGTGTGGTGTACCTTCGACCACCTTGGCTGGTAGTTCAATGGCGTCTTCTCGGTCACCACCGCCTTGAATATGTGGTTCTTGTACTTCGCCTCCGGCTTCATGTGCAGCAATCTTCTCAAGAATAAGCGCAGCGAGATCTGTGCCTGGTCCTGAGGGCTGTGCTTCCTCGCCCGGCCATACGATAGGGTTATCGTCCGTGGGTATGAATTTGTTCCACGCTGCCAGGTCGTTGGCGTCAATTTCAACCTCCTCGACCTCCTCATCGTCGTCGCCCCATGCTTCGTCATCATCGGCCTGTACCAAATCGTCGCCGCCCATGTCATCCTCGCCCATGCGTGTCTCAAAGTCAAAGGCTGGGTTCGCTTCTTGAGGCCTTCGGGCCTTGTTTTCCCGCGCATCCTCCTCTTCCAGTTCTCTTCCTATTTCCAGAATCTTGCGCGAACTCTTGGAGTCGACATACTTTTGTTCGTCGTCTTCATTGTCGCTCTTGTTGCGCTTTTGTCGTCTTGGCGCCTTGTTCTTCCATGGGTCCGAGGGCGCATATTCTTCGGCTAGAGGGTTGTGTCGTTGCTCGCGCAGAGCGGGCGATTTGGGTGCTTTCGGCATGATGGGTTACAAGAGAGTCGTGGGTAGTTTCTTAGAAGTGCGACACTTTCCTCCGAAAAATTTGTGAAGTTGTGATCCAGAGATTGCACGTCTGAAAGTCGCCGCGGTGATTCGTAAAAGTTCGAGATGCGGGAGCCAAAAATTTGGTGGGGTCTGACATTCGCGTGCAAATGGCCCGCCGTAGAAGCTGCACATCTCAGCGGCCGATCGCGACTTCCGTCAACATAGCTGTAGCGACTTAACACCAGCTATATCCACCCAAACATGGCCGATTCTCACCCTCCCTCGCGTTCCAACACGCCTACACTCGTACCCCCAATGCGGCGACCACTAGAGGAAGATCATGCGCCCGCTGTGTCTTCTCCACTCAACCCTAATCCAGATGCTGCAGCGCGTGCCCGACCGAAAGCTCCTGCGCGTGAGCAGAGGGAGAAGCGTGAGACTATTAAGAAACGTGAAGCTTCAGCAAGTACCCGGCAAAACACTCCAAATGCCAAACCGAAGAAAGAACGTCCGGCCGCCGACTCTCCCATGAGATACTCAATCCCAGAGCCCAGACCAACCGACTACGAAGCGCCCAAGGACAGTGCCATGGTCTCACACGAACCGAACCCAATGTATGCACCCGACGGCGTCACTGAGCTCAAGAAACCGCACGATATTGCCTGGAACAAGAAGGGCTACAAGTACACACATTGCGTCGCCGACCCACTCTTCCGTCACAAGCAATACTACAGGCAGAGCGACTCCAGACCATATGGACCGAGAATGAGCCACGAGGATTGTGATAGATGGTTTCACTTTGACCAGACCGCGACCATTGTATCACAGGAAAAGGGCTGGCGCATGGGAAGAGGCAACGTGGTTGCGAGAGAAGGCAGGATATACTATGAGGTCAAGGTCTTACGTGGCATACCAGTAAACGGTCCAAAAGACCCCGTTGATCCCAAGACGGGAGAGATCAAGCCCGGCCCTCACGTGAGGATGGGATGGGCGAGAAGAGAGGCTCCGTTAGATGGACCTGTGGGGTTTGATGGCTACAGCTATGGCATCACCGACGCCCGCTTCGAAGCTCAACATCGGTCGCGTGCCTCCAAGATCTTCAAGCCACTACCCAAGAACGCAAAGAGCAAGCACATGAAAGCTAGACCTCCTCATGGCAAGCCTATGCCGGTTGAGTATGTTGTAGACCAGCATGTCCAAGAAGGCGACGTCATCGGCCTCGAGATCCAACTACCATCGCTATCAATGCATCGCAAGGTTGTCGAAGGCATCTACAACCCCGCTGTAGATTTAGGTGACGGCTTCGACACTGTCAGCAATCAGGATCCATTCGATAGGCCCATCGACATTATTCGCGATCGTATACCAGTGCCTTACAAGGGCAATTTCTACTTCGAACAGCTCGATTACCAAGTCACCAAGATGGTCGAAGCTTATCACGACCGTGGTCCCGTTCCCAAGATACATCCTTCGCCGAACCATGAGGACGTCAGTGTACGCTCGCTTCCACATTCGCACATCAAAGTCTACAAGAACGGCGAGGAAGTCGGCATCGCCTTCGAGAACCTTTTGGCTTTCCTTCCACCAGCAAGCATCCCGTCCGTCGAGGCCATCAAAGCTGGCGCACGCACTGGGTTTGACGACGGCATGGTGGGCTACCTTCCAGCCATCTCCCTTTTCAACGGCGGTGTCGCCCAGGTCAACTTTGGTCCAGACTTTTGGTGTCCGCCTGAAGAGATGATCAAGCAGCGGGAGCTGGACACACAAATGGCCAACGGTGGTTCAACTGAGAAGCAGGTTCCCGATGGTCGTAAGCTGAGGGCCATTGGCGATCGCTACAAGGAGCAAATTGCTGAAGACGTTGTTTGGGACATTATTGACGAAGTCGACTTCTTCTCCCAAGACGGCGGATGGGAGTACAAGGGCGAGGCACCCCAGGACGTGACAGGCAAAGCTACGCCTAGGGCGCGTGGCTTTGCGAACCCGGACGAGAACCTCGGCGTAGAAGTGGGTAAGCGGTACTAAGGGAATAGTAGGATAAACCACTTTCAGATCAATTGTAGTTCTAGCAAGGCGTTAGGTATACCCAAGTATCATCGGCTGAAGTGTATACACGGCAACTATTCCGTCAGCCTTCATCAATATCCACCATCGTATTGCCATGTCTCACCTCCGTTCCGCCCTTCGGTAGTCTTTCCGCAATTGCAGCCCCCAAAACTAGTCTATTACTAAAGCCGTAGGGCGCGAAATCCTCGATCTAGCTAGCGCGGAAATACCGACATCGGCAGTTCGGCGTCATCCGTGGATGTACCCTCGTGGGCGTAAACTTCACGTGGAGGCATATATATGTACTTTTCACACTTGGTCTCTTAATCTCTTTTAGTTTTCATATCAATATCTTCTTTTTCCTTTCTTCTGATTGGAGTTTCAATATCTATTTCGATTTTTTCACCCCACCATGGACTCTTCGCAGTTCCGAGAAGCGGCAAAAGGAGCCATTGACGAAAGTAAATGTCACCATTGATCCCTCAAAATCCATATACTAACATCTCTTAAGTCGCAAACTACTACGACACGCTAGAATCTCGGAATGTCCTGCCATCTGTGAGCCCGGGTTACCTACGCCCTCTACTCCCCACCAGCACACCCTCCGAAGGCGAATCATGGGAAACCATCAAAGGAGACATTGATCGCGTCATCATGCCAGGCCTTACCCACTGGCAATCACCAAAATTCATGGCTTTCTTCCCATGCAACTCATCTTTCGAAGCCATGCTCGGCGACATGTATAGCGGGGCCTTCAACGCCGCAGCTTTCAATTGGATCTGCTCGCCCGCCGTCACCGAGCTTGAAACTATTGTTATGGATTGGGTTGCCAAGCTGATTGATCTACCGAAAGAGTTTCTCAGTGACGGTGAAGGCGGCGGCATCATTCAGGGTACCGCCAGTGAAGTCGTACTCACTGCACTCGTCGCCGCCCGCGAACGCGTCATCAGACGTAAACTCGGCGACATGCCAGAGGGCGAAGACCGAATGGATAAAGCGGCTGATATCCGGGGTAAGCTAGTAGCCTTAGGTTCCGAGCACGCACATTCCTCCACACAGAAAGCGGCCATGATAGCTGGGGTACGGTACCGCAACGTCGCTGCTCCTGAATCAACGAATTACAGCGTCACGGCTTCTTCTCTCCGCCAAACTATCTTATCTTGCCGTGAAAAGGGTCTGGAGCCTTTTTACTTTACCGTCACAATTGGTAGCACGGGTACCTGCGCTATTGACGACTTGGAAGGCATCGCGGCTCTCGCAATGGAGTTCCCTGACATCTGGATTCACGTCGACGCTGCGTATGCTGGTTCTGCGCTCGTGTGTCCAGAGTACCAGCATCTCTGCAAGCCAATCTCGAGCTTTGACTCGTTCAATTTCAATCTACACAAATGGTTGCTGGTCAACTTTGATTGCTCAGCTTTCTTCGTAAAGAAAAGGAGGGACCTCATGGACACATACTCCATCACACCGTCTTACCTGCGTAACCCACATTCAGACCAAGGCCTCGTAACCGACTACCGCGACTGGCAGATCCCACTGGGGCGGAGGTTTCGCAGTTTGAAAGTCTGGTTCGTATTGAGGAGCTACGGTGTCTCCGGACTGCAGGCTTTCATTCGCAAGCACATTCAGCTCGGAGAGTACTTTGCAGACTTGTTGGAATCGAAGAAAGAGATGTTCAGAATCACGACTAAACCAGCATTTGGCCTTGTGAGCTTCCAGATCCTTCCACAGATGCCGCGGGACGCAAAAGCGGATCAGCCAGACCCGAGGCATGAGGCCTATACGAACGACTTCCAACCCGATGCTGAAGCCCAGTATCGGGAGGCGGTGAATGCGAGGACGAAGAGCGTGTATGAGGAGGTTAACAGGAGGGGCGAGTTTTTCTTGACGAGTACGGTGTTAGATGGCAAGTATGTCATTCGCGTTGTCAGTGCCACATCGAAGAGCGAGGAGAAGTGGATGAGGGCGTTGTTTGATGTTTTGGTGGAGATTGCGGAGGGGAAGGAGAAGGTATGAGGAGGGACGGTAGGGTGTGAGACTTGATTCTTGAGTTTGGTGAGCCATATGGTATGGTTGTTCGGGAAATGCTAGTTACGAGGAAGAAACCCGGCATGAGGTCTGATCAGGTTGCGGGCATCAAGAAATCTCACCAATGCCGGGTATTGGTAAACAAAAAACAAGTAGATAAAATCTAGAGCACACGCTAACAAACATTCTCTTCTCCAGCCCAACCGACGCCTACAGTCAACAGTTTCAATCGTGATATCTGCCAAATGAGCGTGATGGGAAGAACTAACCTAGTGTCAATTTGGTAACACATAAGCATGACGTTGACCTTTACTTCACTTATTGTTTCCCTCAACATATATGGTATGGCCAGAGAGCTTTAGTATTAACCCTATGCAAATCTTTTACTCTATCTCCAAGCCCATCTACTCCAACCTCAATATTCTCACCGCATTCCCTCCCAAAACCTCCTTCGCTTTCCCATCCTCTGTGCCAAACGTCTTAGAAATCGCCTTGTAATTAGCATTAACACTATGCCACTCCTCGACTCCCTCCTCCAACGGCGGGAAGAACGGATGATCAGTCCCAAACAACAACCTATCCGACCCAGACGCCTCCAATGCCGCCTTCAACCCCACCTCACTATAGATAACCGCATCCAGGAAAATATTCGTCTTGAGCACATCCCATACATCCCTCCTGTTCTGAGTCTTACCCGCTTTCTTGAGATGTCCATCATGCAGCACACAACTCTCGATCCTACCCGCCAAGAACGGCAGCGTACCCCCGGAATGCGCAAGCAAAACATCCAGCCCGCGGAACCGATCCCATACCCCACTCAACAGCATGCGTGTCACCGCAATGGTCGTCTCGAGCGGGAAACCCAATGCAAGCGGTAGCACGTGTCCGTACTCGCTGGCGCGGGGACCGTAAACTTCCGCCGGCAGCCCGTAATGCGGATGCAAGAAAATGAGCTGTTTGTTCTTCTCGAGCGCCGCATATACCGCATCGAGTTTCTCATCATCTAGCCCCTGTCCTAAACCCGACGTACCCATGATAACACCTCTTGCGTACTTCAACGTACCCAGCCTCTCAATCTCCGCGACAATCTTCTCCGTTGTCCCCGACAACGGCAATGTACCGAAAAAGTACAATCTCCCCGGATATCTCGCACACTGTCCATCCACATCATCATTGATCTCCCTCGCCGCAGCCGCCGCCTCTTCCGCAGGCAGGAAATCCAGCCACGGGTTTGCGAGGGAGATTACTGATTTGTCGATTTTGTGGAGGTCCATGAAGGCGATTTTTTGTGTGATGTCGTGGTACTCGGGGCCGATGGGGCGGCCGCGCGAGGTTGAGGGCATGGAGGCATCGTCTTCGCCCGGGAGGATGATGAGGCGTGGGGAGTTGGGGGCTTCGGGGAAGGTGCGGATGTAGGGGACTGTTGTGCGGGATTGGAGGAGGGATACGTATTTTGGAGGGTAGATGTGTGTGTGGATGTCTACGATTGGCATGGTGGGTGGTTGGGGACGCGGGGTACGTCACTTCTTCTGTGTAGAATGGAGAAGGTATTCAGGGTGAAAGCGAGTGGTGGGAGAGGTTTGTGAAGACGCCCCGGGAACTATATCGAAGTTTCAAGTAGATAATTCAGAAAGGGGCTGGGTGTAGCTGCATGTCTCATAACATTCCAATACTTGGCGGGGTAGCTGTTCGACGTTCCTAATGCCCCCACTTCACGGCAGCAAGACATCCCACCTTCCCCAAGCGGCAACAAGCTATGGAGCCATGGTCGACGGAGATGCCCGCGAGCAAAACATGTCATACTCGTGTGTCGTATTGTATACTATATGCGCGAAGCCGCGGTAACGGGGCAACGAATCTGCTATACATGGAAACCTCATCAAGCACGGGTCCTCAGAAAGACGTTGGGCGGCATATTCCGCGTCTTGAACTCATCATCCACTTCAAACTGGATATCACCCTTACCCTCTTCGTCTTTGAACCCCATTCTCCTATATAGTGCTCTTCCCATGGCACTACCCTCTGTAGTGCATTCCAGGTCGCCTCGTGCTTTTGCCTCGGCGAGACCTGCTTCAACTAGCTTACCAGCGATACCGCGGCGTTGGTATGCCGGGTCTACGGTGCACAGGTCCAAAGTGAAGATTGCAGGAGGGTTGCGACCGGACGCTTCGACTTCACGCATGTACTCGATGCGTCTCTTGTATAGCGAATGAGTCATTTGCTGTACGAAACGCCCATCTTGCTCGCCGAAATGGCCAAGATGCTCGGAGACATCGCTGTCGAATGGATCGCCGTAGCCGTCGACAAAGGAAAATTGCTGCCAGATGGCAACTCCAACGACACGTCTCTCGCCCTGGTTATTCGGATCAGGGAGGGTTGCTTTGAGGAAAACGGTGTTGGGTTTTCCATCTTTGTTCGTCTTGACAGATTGCCATCGTTGCAGCAAACGTTTTGTGTGGATGTCTTTTCCCTCTGGGGTGTCCCATCCAAGGTTCGTCATCATCCAAAGTCCGTCTTTTGCCTGAGCGCCGAATGCTTGAGAGATACAGTGATATCCTTGTTCGACATCTTTCTCAGTCTCGAAAGGGGAAACGATGACTTGGTCGTTCTCAGTAGCCATGGTGGGGATAGAGTCGTTGTTTGCCGAAGCTTTTTCGGTAGTATGTTGGAGAGTCAGGTCAATTTAAGTGGGAAATAGAGCAGTAGTGTTTGGCAGAGAGTGAAGGAGTTTAGTAGGTTTTATAGACATGGCATAACGGCGTCACCTGGCGGCCGCCCTGCTCGGAAGGCTTGGCGCCTTGTTCTGGCCGAGCGTACATCTTGATAATGTGGTTGTGGAAAAGTTCCAAGGCCGACGGAACTTCATCATGGAGTGGGCCGGACCAAAGCTACGACATCCGAACAGAGTATTACGTGGACGAGGCACTGATGTCCACGATGCTTTGAGTTCACTATGAAAGATAGGTGAGGCCAGCGCGATGAGCGTCGTCACTTACGTAACGATAAACTAATTCTAAACATGAGTATACGTGTATCGCGGCTGGCCGAGCAGTTTTTCTAGCGCGAATGGAGAGCATGGGGAGACCCAAGGGAGACATGAGGAGGGGCATGGTGGAGTGTAGGAGCTAATGCGGAATGGGACGGGAGGCGAAGCTAGCGTGGCGGAATCAATTAGCAGGGATGCACGTCGCGCCTTCTACGCGGTCGCGTTGTCCCACAGGCACTTTCCACATCTACTCCACACAACAAACATTGTATCCATCGCCGTGGGCATATCACAACCGCGTAGTATTAATTCTGCTGCTATATTACAACAATGGCGGGTACAGACTCAAAAGCGCCGTCAAAGCGCACCCTCTCCGAAACGTCTGGCAAGCGCAACAACGTGCAACTATCGCCCCGCTCCTCAAAGAAGTTGAAACTCGAAAATACCAATGAGAGGAGCAGAGCGCCAATCAAGACAGCAAATGGCTCTTTCAATTCGAGCCAGCCGGCACCAAGCCAGTTTGAGGAAACGCTGGAGAGGATGGCAGAAGATGTCGAGTCAGTGAAGAAGGGCAACAAAGAGAAGGACCAGGAATGGCACCGGCCTGCGATACCAGAAGACTTTAGTGAGATGACACATAACCTCACATTTCAGCAGATAGACGCCGAAGAGGGTGTGCTGAATGGCGGAAGGGCCACAGTAAAACTGTTTGGTGTGACAGAGGTGCGCAAACTGTATACATGTAGATGACTTCATGCTAACTCGGACATTACAGAATGGCCATTCCGTCCTCCTTCACGTTACAGGCTTCCAGCACTACTTCTACGTTGCCGCTCCCATCGACTTCCACAAGGAAGACTGCGAAGGTTACAAGCTCTTCCTCGAGGGTGAATGTCAAAAGAACTTCAACCAACACTCGGCTGTCATAGCATCAGTGCAGATGTGCATGAGAGAGAACATCCTGCGATTTCAGGGCAATCAGAAGAGCCCCTATCTCAAGATCACCGTCTGTGACCCCAAGATGATCAACCGTGTGCGGATGATGGTACAAAAGGGCAACGCCAACTACAAACGGCTTTGGCCTGCCAGAGAGGACGGAATCCTTACATTCGATAATATTGCATACGTGCTGCGTTTTATGATCGATACATCGGTCACCGGAATGTGTTGGGTTGAGGCCCCCGCATCAAAGTACAGGATGATCAACCCCCGCGAGCGACATTCCAATTGCCAGTTCGAGGCACAAGTGCATTACAAAGATCTCATTGCCCACTCATCCGAAGGCGAATGGGCAAAGCTCGCACCCCTCCGCGTTCTCTCTTTCGATATCGAGTGTGCTGGTCGCAAGGGTATCTTTCCAGAGGCGAACGTCGACCCTGTCATCCAGATCGCAAATGTCGTTACAAGATACGGTGAACAGAAGCCATTTGTCAGGAACGTGTTCTGTCTGGACACGGTCAGCCCCATTGTTTCGACGGAGATCTTTTCATATCAAAGCGAAGGCGAGATGCTGATGAAGTGGCGCGACTTCGTGGAGCAGGTCGATCCGGACGTCATCATCGGATACAACATCAACAACTTCGATTTTCCGTATCTGCTCGACCGGGCGAAGCATCTCAAGCTACAGAAATTCCCTTACTGGACCCGTCTCAAGACTGTGCAGTCCAAGGTTGAAAGTTCGCACTTTTCGAGCAAACAGTTGGGAAACCGAGATACTAAGACGACAAACACCAATGGTCGTCTGCAACTGGACCTGCTTCAACTCATCCAGCGAGACCATCATCTGCGAAGTTATACGCTCAACTCAGTGTGCGCTCACTTCCTCAAGGAGCAGAAAGAGGACGTACATCACAGTATGATCACAGAGTTGTTCAACGGCGACTGCAACTCACGGAGGCGTCTGGCTGTATACTGTTTGAAGGATGCTTACCTACCTCAGCGACTGCTCGACAAACTGATGTGTCTGGTCAATTATACAGAAATGGCTCGTGTTACAGGTGTGCCTTTCAACTACATTCTTTCCCGAGGACAACAAATCCGCTTCATCAGTCAACTGTTCCGAAAAGCCCTCGATCATCAGCTCATCATACCTGATCTTCCCAACCAAGGCGACAGCAATGATCAGTATGAAGGTGCCACGGTCATTGAGCCTAAACGTGGTTATTACAGGGACCCTGTCGCAACTCTGGATTTCGCCTCCCTGTACCCCAGTATCATGCAAGCTCACAACCTTTGTTACACAACTTGGCTCGATAAGCAGACAGTGGAGAAGCTGAAGATGAAGAAAGACGAAGACTACATTGTTACACCACACGGGGACATGTTCTGTACAGCAAAGACGAGGAAAGGGCTATTGACAGAAATTCTGGAAGAAGTGCTGAGCGCACGTAAGAAAGCCAAGAGAGAGCTGGCGACTGAGACCGACCCTTTCAAGAAGGCTGTGCTGAACGGTCGTCAATTAGCCCTGAAGGTTACTGCAAACTCCGTCTACGGTTTAACAGGCGCTACCAATGGTAAGCTACCCTGTCTTGCTATTGCCAGTAGTACCACCAGTTTCGGTCGTCAGATGATCGAAAGGACCAAGGCTGAGGTTGAGGCCAAATACAACATTGCCAACGGGTACACACATGACGCGGAGGTCATCTATGGTGACACAGATTCTGTCATGGTCAAATTCGGTACCTCAAATCTTGAAGAAGCTATGAAATTGGGTGAGGAGGCTGCCACATACGTGACGTCCAAGTTCCTCAAGCCCATTAAGCTGGAGTTTGAAAAGGTCTACTTCCCTTACCTGCTCATCAACAAGAAGCGATACGCTGGTCTCTACTGGACAAATCCCCATAAGTGGGACAAGATGGACACCAAGGGTATTGAGACAGTCCGTCGTGACAATTGTCGTCTGGTGCAAACGGTCATCGAAACTTCCTTACGCATGTTGTTGATCGATCAAGACCCAGAGGGTGCACAAGCGTAAGTAAGCCTACCCAGCAGCTGCATCAAAGCTGACATTTCCAGGTTCGTCAAAGAAACCATCGCGGATCTTCTGCAGAACAAGGTCGACATGTCCAACCTCGTCATCACCAAAGCCCTCACGAAACAAGAAGACAAGGACGGCAAGGGTGGTTATGCCAACAAGCAGGCACACGTGGAACTGGCAGAACGCATGAAAAAGCGTGACGCGGGTTCTGCCCCTGCTCTAGGTGACCGTGTCGCATATGTTATGATTAGGGCCGCCACCGGTGCAAAGAACTTTGAGAAATCAGAGGACCCACTCTACGTTCTCGAGAACAACTTGCCCATTGACACGCGTTACTATCTCGACAATCAACTCGCCAAACCATTGGGCAGAATTTTCGAGCCCATTCTAGGCGAAAAGAAGGCGGCCTCGCTCCTTACTGGCGACCACACACGCTCCATCACCGTTGCCGCACCCACCATGGGCGGTCTGATGAAATTTGCAAAGAAGACATCGACATGCATGGGTTGCAAGAAACCTCTTGTCGCCGCACACGAAAAGGATGGCGCCGTGTGTGAAAACTGCAGACCTCGTATCGGAGAGCTATATACAAAGACACTGAGCAAGGTGTCCGAGCTGGAGGTCCGCTTCTCTCGACTTTGGACGCAATGCCAGCGTTGTCAGGGAAGTGTTCACTGCGAGGTCATCTGTGCTTCGAAGGATTGCCCAATCTTCTACATGCGGATGAAGGCGAGGAAAGACGTTCAAGATGCGGGTAAGGAGCTTGTACGCTTCGATAAAGATGCTGCACTCTGGTGATTGCAGTGGAAGCTGTCAGTCGCTACCACTCGTAAGGTGTTTTGGTGTTTAGAGGTATGGATATCTAGCTATTTGATATGAAGATTAGGATATAGCTTCTCAGTTGCGCAGTGATATACAGCATGTACACAATATGATAATGTTAACCCCATGAAGTTCCTCCAAAATAAATCTGCTTGTGTTCTCTCGGCAACTCAAACCATACTATCGATTGGTAATGTAGTTATCGGTTGCTCTGACGCTGCCATAAGTTTTCGGTCTCTTGTTTGAGAACAAAGTTGATGTGGTGGTGACAATGTACCTGGTCGATGTTGTAGTCAGTTGCCATAACAGCCTGCAAATGTGGGGTTCTAAGAGGCCCTCCTAATCAAGATGAGTGACTTTGTTCAGACAAGTCCAAAAGATATATCCAACAGCAGGACTAATACAATTATTCCTTGAGTCCAAATGTTCTTTGGTTGTTATCAAATGAAACATTATAGTTACTTTGTGGTCTACCACCACTCGAATTGCCGTCTCAAGTTTGGTGGAGGTGTTCAATCTCGGATCAGGGTGGAGTTGTAGCTGTAATCGCTCTGTTTTTTTGTGCAAATTGGTGTCTCATCAAAGTACTTAGTAACAAAAAGCTCAGCAAAACTACACACAATTACATAAGAACGTCTGGTGATTTCAAGTATCGAGGTCAAGTGCGGGAAGGGCATAAAACGTAGAGAGCTGCAGCCATGGAACGCATACGCTAATCTCTGAGTGGGACCCTCGTTCACTCATGGTTCTCAAGTTCGCCTATTTAGTGTCGCCACCCCAAACAAATAGTCTTGAACATCATAAGGCTATCACCGCCAACAACGTGCTGTCGAGTTTGCACACATTGACACTCACTTCCCGCCTCACCCACCAAACTATAAGGCGAAATTTGATTGCAACTCCCCAAATCGCGTTACACACATCTCTCTACCTATAAATACCGTCACAAATCTATACCGTTAGAGTCCAAACCTGTTCGCCGCTCAACCCAAGCGCCTCCACCTCCAACACACCATAGCTATGCCGCGTTTCAACCCTGCTGCGCGAAGCTTCTCGACTTCCATTCATCCACGAACTACACCGTCCTTGTCGTCTGCGCCCGCGCCCGATCTCCTGATTATATTACGCACGCACTGTATCATGCTCACGACCCAATATGTCTCTTATTATAGGATGTATATGTCAGCTTACCATGAGCTTATTCCGCTGAGGAACGGGTTTAATGACATGCAGAAGGTGATTGATGGAGTTGCTGAGTTGTTCTTCATGCAGAAGAAAATTACGCGTTTTCAGAAGTTCCTGGCGGAGTTTGAGGAATTTATCAGGGGTCTGGAAGCGGATGTGCGGGCCAGGTATGAGTATGGGAATGGAGGCGGAGAGGGGGATGGCGAGAGACTTAGTCGGATGTGATTGTGATAGGTGTTTGGGAGAGGGAATGAGGATGAGGAATGATGAGTGCTTGGTGGAGGAGAGAGAAGTCTTGGATTTTTTCCCAGGCATGGTATGCTGGGCCTTGTGGTCAGCTCAAGTGTCGAAATGTCGGATTGAAGACGTACTAAGGGGTGTTCAGGGATGCATGTTCTCGTAGACATAAACAGCGACTTATACCAACGACACATCATGCCATATACCTAGATAAATAAAGGTTGCTGCTCAAAAGAATCTTAAGTTACTTGTCTTTGTTTCGAAGACGTAGTGATAACTCCAGGGCTTCGGAGTAGATGACCGCGCTATCCTGTATTGGTTAGGACCGGGGGTTGAACTCCACATGTTTATGCCCGCCCCAAGCTACGCATAGCAAGCAGCATCTTTAAACCAACTTTCATCGGCATCATGCTACCGCCATCTCCATTTCCAATTCCCTCCTCTTGTACTAGGTCCGATGTGCCTTATCGTATTCCGTGCTTACTTGGTCGGTGCAAAGGTTACATCGGTCTCGCAGGTGCGGGGCGAAGCGAGTGTTGACAGCGACTAGGATGCCTTGGCTGTCGTATCACGATAAACATCCTTGGTTGTTTCTCGCCATCATGTCTTCCCTCCTCCCGTGTCCAACATGTGGTTTTTGGTTTTGGTATTATTGATTGAGCTCGTGGTTGCTCTCCAACCTCTCCCACCAGTGCCAGCATCGAACACCAGCAGCAATGGCGCTGACATCTCGATCAACACGTTATCCACGAAGATATACATTGACAGCGCTTTTGCGGATACAAGAGATGCGAATGGCCTGACTCTCATCCCGCCATCAGCTTATGAATTTGCTGAGACATTTCGCGCCGACATTTCATTGCTGTTAGGTGGAAACTGGAAGTTGGAGCGCGTCGATGGCCTTCAGTCGGACGGTATCAATCTTGGGTCTTTCCGGGGTGATGAAAGCCAGTTGGCATACGAGAATGGTGTTGCGACAGAAGAAGGATATGAAATCGAAGTTACAGATGGCCGCATTTACATAGGCGGAACCGGTGCGCGAGGCATGTTTTGGGGCACACGAACTTTGCTGCAACAGTTGTTGATTGGGAATGGATCTCTGGCACACGGTCGGACGGTAGATGCGCCTGCCTATGCTACACGTGGTTTCATGCTAGACGCAGGCCGCAAATGGTACAGCAAGGATTTCCTCAAAGAGCTTTGCTCCTACGCGTCATTCTTCAAGATGTCAGAGTTTCATTACCACTCTAGCGACAACTATCCGCTTAATCGTGGTCACAATGAGACGTGGCAGGATGTATTCTCTCATTTCTCGTTGTACCCGGAAAAGAATACCGAGCTTCGAGGCCTGGTTCAACGTCCAAACGAAACACTATCGCGCGTCGATTTCGAAGATTTTCAGCGGCATTGCGCACAAAGAGGTGTCACAATCGTTCCAGAGATTGAAGCACCAGGCCACGCTTTGGCGATTACGAAATGGAAACCAGAACTTGCGCTTGCAAAAAAAGACTTGTTGAACCTCAGCCATCCGGACGCGATCCCCACAGTAAAAGCCATCTGGTCAGAGTTCCTTCCCTGGTTTCAGACAAAAGAAGTGCACATTGGCGCAGACGAATATGATTCTACTCTGGCAGATGATTACATCCACTTTGTGAACGAGATGGCAGACTTCGTCAACACAACGTCGCAGAAGCGAGTGCGTATATGGGGTACACATGAACCTTCTGAAAACCTCACCATCTCGAGGGAAGTCATCGTACAGCATTGGCAGTATGGTCAATCGGATCCTGTGGAGCTTCAGAATGATGGCTATGATCTAATCAATTCAGAGGATTGGTGGGCATACATGAGTCTCAAAAATGATCATATGCCTATCCTACCAGCTCGATACCCGCAGTTCTACAATGTTACACGGACAGTGAACTTTGCGAACGTACCAAGCTGGCAATGGGAACCCTCGGTTTACAATCCCATCAACACCACGGAGCAGCTACAGCCCAACGCTATCGGCAACAAGGGTGCTATCTTGGCAGCTTGGAACGATAACGGTGCAGATGCCACGACGCAGCTTGAAGCTTACTATGCGATGCGCGAAGGTATACCTGTCATGGCCGCACGTGCCTGGGCTGGAGCTCGGGGCGAAAAGATCGTCGAAGGAGAGCTATCGGATAGTACCGCACTTTTGGTATGCATGGAAAACGCATGTAATTCAATCAGCGGCTAATGCGCGGACATCTCAGGCACCCAAAGCCCCTGGACAAAATCTCGATCGCCGGATACCGAATGCGCAGAATCCGTCGCAAACCTCGCCACTCGTGTCGTGGAAACGGGGATCCTCTGGCAACTCGAAACAAATCTTGGAAATGGGCTCTTATGGACCGCCGTATACACTGGCCATGAGTGTATCGTCATCATTCAATCTTTCTGGGCCAGACACCTCGCTCTCTCTCAGTAAGCTCTCCACCAACACCAGCGGCGACATCACTACACTCATCTTCACCACCGCGGACGGATTCCCATACCCTTTGCGTTCTGTATCCTCAGATGATGGACACGACCCCGGACATCCAGGTCGTATCTGGACGAACCAATCTACATCCTCGCATGAGCCTGTATCCGTCACTCTCCCTGCCATGTTGCGTATTGAGACAGACATACTGAACGGCAGTCGTGTCTGGATTGATGAAAAGTTTGCAGGCCGCTTTGAAGTATTCGTATTTGGAGGGCGCAACACACTGTTCAGCTGGAGTCAGATGGCACTCGTTGCTCCGTTAAAAGAAGTAGACGGCGGTATTGACAGCCTTGTGCTCGAAGCAGGCGTAGGACTAGGAACTCCACGTCCAGTGAACGGTAGTTATAGTGGACCTTTGGCGGGCAATAATGCTGGGAGATCTCATGGAGTTGGTGTGGGGTGGTTTCAGATACTGGTTGGTGTAGCGGTGATGATGTGGAATTTCATGTAAATTGTCCAATGCCAATGTTGGGAAGTTGGTCGAAGTAGCTACCGATCCCTTCAATCTACATCCTCTCATGTCAATTCTCAACACCCTCTACTGGGTTGTATTCACATTGTACCCACCCTCTTGCATCCTGGTTCTCTTGTTGTGCCATCTCCAGTATTGCAAATGCAACTGATCACTTTCCAGGATCTGGCTTGATATCCTAAGCGGTTGCAACTATGGCAGTCGCCATTCCCTCTTGCATCCCGGTCGGCTCAAAATGCTGTGGTACATGCATGACGGGCATCGCAACAAGATCTGAAAGTTTAATGTATATTTTTGGAATTTGTTGATATGTGTATATATGGCAATTCCATTCAATTGCCACGCCTTCTCTGCTATTTCGCCCGCAAAGCTGTGGTACCTCGAACCTCATCGTTGATCACGCCTACAATCCATCGGCATGGCTGCCATGTTCAAAAACAGGCGCAAACGCAGTACAATTCTCTTTGCTCATCTCCTGATCCCACCTCACCCCCTCAATGCCCCTCCCCGTTGCCTGGCACCACAGTCTTATGGCCCTTCCTTGGATGCGACGGCGCCTTCGCCCTCGCCAATCCCAACTTGACATTTGTATCATCCTGAACAAGCGCATTCCTCACCTCTTTCACGTTACCGCCACTTGGGATCCCGCGCTCGCGGCACAAAGCTGCGGCCTCGTAGTAGCCAACTGCATCGTAGTTTGGGTTGCCCAGAAGAGGTTGAAGCGGCGAGACATGGCGGGTATGACGGTTCCGGGTGCGCTGAGAAGACGGCTTAGATGAGCGTGAAGAAGAAGAAGAAGAAGAAGAAGAAGAAGAAGAAGAAGAAGAAGAAGAAGAAGAAGAAGAAGAAGAAGAAGAAGAAGAAGAAGAAGAAGAAGAAGAAGAAGAAGACAATGATATGGCTGGTACAAGCTGGGAACTCCTGGGTGGACTGGATTTTAATGGGAGGGTGGGGTCGGAGCTCGTAGGGAGGCAGAGGGGTGGGTGCCGTGGGATTGGGATGACGGTTGGGAAGGCACGGCCTTGTACGGGGGAACTGAGCGACGATGTGGGGGTAAGCTGGGTACTACCGAATCCATCGGAGTGTGTGCTTTCCGCACAAGGATGAGCATGGCCCGAGCTTGTCGTAAATGCCTCGTTAGGAAGAGTGGGAAGTGACGATTCCGCAAAGGAACGATCAGCTGACTCGGTAGTGCCGCTCATCATGTCTTCTTCGATGTGAGAAAGGCTGATGTCACCCATTCGATCCATCGTATTCCGATCTGACATGCTCACATCACTGCTGCTCGAGGATGATATCCCGCTCCCATGCCCATCTAGGCGGCAGCCCGAGATGTCAACTTTCCCCGCATGATAGGTAGTCCTAAAGCAGCTTTTCCTGCGCCGCGTCTCTATCTTTCTGATGCTTCATTGCCAGCTGCATGCTCGGTATTATATCGGCGTTTTCTCCCGTGTAGTCTGGATGAGCGGTGAGATACCGATGACTGTATTTGATCCCTTGCTCACGCATTTTTCCGATGGGCTTCGTCAACTCAGCTACCATTATCTTATCGATTAAACCGGCGGTTCCAAGGTGAACAGCATGTTCTACTAGTAGCGCATAGTTTGTTGTAGCGTGTGCATCGCCGTAGCCTGAGCGAGAGTGGTCGAGATGATGATGTGGGCAGGCTTCGGCCGTTACTTTGATGGGTTTCTTGGGTGACATTGTAGATTTGTGTATGAAAACATGGGTTTGAAGTAGAGATGATACCACTATGAACATCTGCTAGGTTGGAAAACGAAGATGATTCTTGAGAGTGGTTCGCAAAGTTGAGTAGCTATAGTATCTAGGCTGCGGGGACCTGGTTCCTCTCAAAACAATGACTTTATCGCAGAGCGAATAGGCGTTTTAACAATGACGCATTGGTGCGAGGCACAATAGAATCATCATGAAAGTGAAAGCAGTGTGAAAGTGAAAGAGAAGCGCATTAGAAATCACTACATATCGATACCTTTAGTAGCAGAAGAAGCACCAGATAAGCATGGCTAATGATAGATCAAGTAGGAAACCATCGATTGCCTGATTTGACGAAAGCCCCACCGAGCTTTTTCGACCTGACCTCGGGAGTTTCTCCCTACTGACCCGACTAGCCATTCAAACCACCCCTCGCTTCCAGATGAGAACAAATTTCTACAGCGAGGCTTCAACTTGTGCGCCTGATCCCTGATCCCTGATTCCTAACATCGGAATCCGGAATAACTGCTACTTGCATTGATACTCTCGTCCCGTCTTGGCAGCCTCTCCAGGCTCGTTTCTAGTCACTACATTAGGAACATGCTCAAAGCTCAAAGAAAAGATGGAAGGCTATACTTATGACAACTGCCCGGTACGCTATTGAACCCAACCTTGGCTGAATCCCAGCACATCTTGGTGCAGGACGTGGGGCACGGTGAAACGTCTCCTCCTCTACATGTTTGGCCTGAAATAGGTGCAACAAGAGCAAGGAGGGTAACGATGAAGAGACGCATAGCTGGTCGTCCTGCAGCAGGCTAAAGATGATGTAGTATATAGAGGTGGTACCCGTAACCGAGGTAGATGTTGTCGTAAAGTTGAATTGTGATTGAGAGAAAACTAGATACAGTCACGATACGCATGTTCATATACCCAATGCTTATCTCTCACCGCTGCTAGGACAGGGGGTTCAGCGGAATACTAGTGCTGAGAGGACGCGTGAGGAAACGAACCACATTCCGGGGTTTCTACGGGGAGACGAACCGCAATTCAAGGGGTAATACGAGGACGCGCCGAGCTTATGTTGTTGGAACAGAAGCGTATTTGGAATTATTACAAATGTCGGTATAATCAAAAACGGAAAGACCGAGAGCTATATACACGATGACTGGTTGTCGCATACGACGATTCGAATCGATCATGATGTGTATCGCTCTTTGCCCAACTAGCCACCTAAACCACCGCTCACAACCAACACCAGTATTTTTGCAGCGAGGCTCCAACTTGGCCTTTGATACGCCTCTCTACGCCACTCTATGCGATGTCAATTGTCTAAAGCGCTGCGCGATTGCTTTCTTGCTGACATCCAGATGCCGATACCGTAGCTAATTCTACTATTGTGTGCCACAATAACTTGTCTTTCCGGGTTTTGCCCGCCCAGCAGGGCCATAGCTAGGTACAGAATTAGCCATAAGCCCAGAGCTGAGATTTGGCATAGAGAGCTGTACTTGTAACAAACCCCGACATTTGTGGCTGCATTCTTGAAAACTTCTTTGGGGTCTCCGCAGTACCACGTACACGATGTCTGTCGACTTGGACAGTCTGGACCAAGCACTTTACATCCAGCTGGAAGAAAGCGGGACCTCTGAGCAGCTGTGAAAGGTGCGAGAATAGCAAGAAGGGCGACGACTGTAAAATGCATAGCTGGCTCGGTTATACCACACAGGATATGATGTGATAATGTCACGGTTTGGGGTCTCTCCTGCTCTGCTCCTGTAGTCGCAACTTACCTTTGTAATGGACCAATGCCTATCTGGGACTAGCGCTGTTTACGGTCACCCACCTACATATACAGTTTGTAGACTCAGACAATACAACCTCAGTTCAATCCTTCAATTCTTCCAGCACCCACTATCCCCCACAGATAAGCAGGGATGAGGTTCGAGGTCTGATTTCGCAGAGGGTTTTTAAATAAGTTAAGAGTAGTGAGCTTGAGTGATTTGCAGGAGAGTAAGAAGAATATAAAAACAACAGGCAAGTTTATATACCCGTGTCTCACGTCCCACTGTCTCATGCTGGCTAGTATGGCGGGGTAAGGGGGACAGTAGTGCTGAGGTACGCGGAGAGATGACATGTACTTGGAGGAAGCGATAATTTCGTTTGATTTTCGTCAAAGAGGGCTTATGGCTCTTGGCTTGCTTATGTGCCAAGAGCATATCCGCCAAGTTCCAGTAAGCTGGAGGTAATTCGCTGAACACTGGTTGAAATTCGCTCTACGCTAACATGGCTTCGCCGTCTAACTTTACAAAGACCAAGAAATGAATACAATTCGCAATCCCGAGGACGCACCGAACAGTATTGCCAAGCATGACTGTCCAGACCATCTACATCGCTTCCACCATCACCCCGTCGATGCGTTATTAACCGCCCATCGCGCTGCTCAGGTGTTTGACTGCTGATATAAGGGTTCTGAAATAACAACTAATCCTGAATCCAAGTTGGAGAGCAATATCCCTTCTTTTTGTATCGCTGTTGTGCCCTAGCCGAGTAACTAGGCAGTGAATTAGCGAAGAGACTAAAGTTGTGATAAACGGTCGTACCCGATACAGTTGCCGAAGCCAGCCTTCAATTCAATAGTCGTAAGGCGATTTTCATCGGTTGGGGGAACGCTTTTGCGGCAAGATATTGTGCAAGTGGACGACGTGCCCTTGCTACAGGCGTCGGAGAGATCTGTACATCCGTCCGGAAGTCCTGGAGGAGAAGTCCTAGCAGCTGCGAGAGATGCAAGGACGGCAACAAGGGTGGCGACTGTAAAACGCATAATTGTGGCTAGGTGATACCACACGGAATAAGATGCAGGGGGTGAGTCGGTAAAGGCTTATGAGATGAAATCGGAACAATGAGCCAGAAGGATGTGAAAAAAAAAACGGTAACATGAAGGTTCTTATACCCAGGGTCTCATCTCTCACGGTCTTCCCCTGGCTAGTATGGTGAGATCAAAGGAGCTGTAGTGCTGAGATGACACGAAGAGTGAGCAACCGTACCTCAACGATATAAGTTATCCGACGATGGTCCGAGTTCTGGACCTTACCTAGCGCTGATGCCCAGCGACACCCATTCTCCAAGGGCCAGCAGATCTAGCCACTGTTTTAATTCCTCTTCATGATCTTCATATTCTTGTCTTGGCTTCTGAGTATGGATTGGTGGGCGCGCTGCCTTTCTAAATACAGAGTACACTTTTTGTAGTTATAGAAATCCCCTTAGAACCCCGGAAAAAGTGTGTTAGTATCTGATAATGGGCGAGTTTCTATCTGATTTGCTTATAGAGGGGCCAGTATTCTTTTGAGCCTACAAGTACACGTCTTCGTACATCGTGCGCCGTTCCAATAAGGTGCATGTATGCGCTATAATTTCATTCTACACTGATCTCATAAAGACCAAAACGTGAGCACGTACAGTGGGTAAGCCCGGTGAGGTACAGAACGTGTTGCCGGAAAGGACTATTGATGGTTCAATCCCTCCCACACCGCTTCCATCATCACCATCGTCTGCACGTCCTACCGTAGCTGGTCCGTCTCATTCCATCTTACAGTATTCGCGGACATCGAAACCAAGATCAATAAGTTTCTCACGCAACGCCGGATGCATAACGTACACGAAGTCCAACCGTACTTTGTAATCCATTGCGTCGGCCGCGGCCTGGAGAAACTCCATGACGGATACACAGACATTGATCTGTCGCTCATAACGGGCAATACCCGTCTGAGCATCCCGCACTTGCCAAAACCTCTGGAACCGGATCCAGAGCGCCAGATCCTGGATACTGTGCGAGTTTATAGCATGCACAAATTCGTTGAGCACGGCTACCTTCTCTATGTTCCTCAATGCCGAATAGTCTGCGTACAGGGCTCGAACGGTGGCGAATCTGATGTTGAACAGGCGGAGGCTTCGCAGCTTGGATGGTAGATTCTGACGAAGCTCCTCCAGGAATGGCGTCTTGTCTCCAGGAGTCTTCTCGGGACGTATGGCTGTGAGCAGATGCAAGTCAATACTCAGAAACAGCAAGTTCTTGAATTCGGCGAAGGACCCAAAAGCAGTGAAATCTGGATCGTCGTTACATTCCATCTTCTGCCAGGAGAAATCCTGCAGAAGCGGCAGGTTTTCGAGCATCGCAAGCTTCAGTTTCCGGTAATCGTACACTTCCCAGCTGCCACCTTCTTCCCAGGGGTTGCATCCGACACCTTTCAAGTAAAGACAGGTTAAATCACGGTAACGCGAATTTTGGATCGCCTGTGTGATTATCTCGGGATTGATATTCACATTGGCTAGCTTGATTTTACGAAGGTTGCCCGTCTCGATATGCTGAGGGCATACCAATAGGGCGGTAGGCGAGCTGACCCCCTCTACGACCAAGTGTTTCATATTGGGTAAAACCATGAGCTCAAGCGGGACTGTAGAGAGACCTTTGCCCTGTAATGACAGCGATTGGAGTTTCGCGAATGGCCGTCCGGTTTTACTTGGTTCTGAAGAATCCCAATCAATGTCCTGGAGTATATGGCGAGTCATGCGCAGCGGATGATCCAGGCATAATTCCATATGGAGAGTACGCAGGTTTGTGGCCCAGCAGAGTATAAGCGACAGCGTCCCGTCGAAGAGTGGATAAGGCTCGAAGATCTTGGAGAGCCAAATGGTCTTTTCTTGGGTACATGCAAGTTGGTGGAGTACCAGCGCATCTATAGCATCCCGGATCTCTACGACGTGTTTCCAAAGCTGATCGTAAAGATGGCTCCCCTTGGGATCTTCGGGATAAGATATATCGCGGTAATTTGGGTCTGAAATTCCTTGGTGCGGCTCTGGGAGGGATACCGAGATGCGTTGAACTAACAGCCGGAGTTTCTTTCGACGGAGAAGAGTGAGTAGTAGTACTCTAAGTCCATGGGGTGTCTCTCTTGGGTTGATCTTAATAGTCTTGTACAGGGTTCGTTCGCAGATGCTTTGATAGTACTTGGAGACTCGCGCCATACGGATTAAACTGATCTTGTCGAGATATCCGATGATTCTCATATCCATCTCGGTTGAGAGCGCAAGGAGCGACATGGTGCGGTTTTCAGGCGTATCGAGTTCTCGTGTGTAGCCAGAATTGAGCCTGTGGTGGAAGTGAGCGTAAAGGATTAATGGAATAGTGTAGCACAACAGGGCTTCACCACCTTGGCAGCGCTCAGCCACTAGCGTACTTTGCGGCTGCGCGGTATATTTTGCGCGTCTATGATGTAAGAGAGGTGAAGGAAGTAGACATGATCGTACAAGGGTGGCGCGCGCAGGAAAATATTACCACGCCGAAACAGCACCATGCCAGTGGCCGCAGCAATACCGTACCACGAAGTAACAGGTGTTGTCTGAAGATATGAGCTCTTCTATCTAGTCCGTACTACCAGCCATCTGACTGCGACAAGACTCTCGAAAAGTATTAAGGAAAGGCGTGGCAAGTTTGCGAATGTCAAGGAACAGCTATACGCAATACAGATGAGGTCCGGTTGAACGGAGATTTTCTATCTCCTCTACAGTACCATAGTACCCATCCTTGGCGTCCCAAACTGAAGAACCATCGATTACCTGATTTTGGCGAGAGCTCTACAGGGCTTTCTCACACTTTCCTCCCGTTGAACGTGGGAGAAGGATAGAAAGTTTCCTACGCTTAGATGCAGGGTTCGCAGACTATGATCAGGCAAAGCTCAAGTCATGCAGCTCCGCGCGTGATCGATTTGACATATCAACTTAGGCCAAAAATTCCCCTTTGGTCTTGGCGAGTATCTCATCATAATAGCTCTGGAAAGCCAGCCAGCCCTTCTCGGGCGTTCCTACCTGCTTGTACGTCTCGGCCGCCTCTCGGTCCGGTATAATCTTGGGCTTGTGTCCGCTCCCAGCCGCCGCCGCGTCTACAAGGAGTTGTGCTTGGCAGGTTTTATCGAGCGATAGGAACCAAAAGGCCGCTTCGTCGACAGACCCGCCTACGGTGAGGATGCCGTGGTTTTGCAGGATAGCTGCTTTGCCGTCGCCTAGAAAGAATGTTACTTAGCAAAGGCGTATCCTGCAACATAGCAGCAGAGTACATACCGAGCGCTTTGGCTATCCGCTCTCCCTCCTCGCTTGCTAATACAACGCCACCGAATTGATTATACACGCCGTGGCTCTTGTAGAAACGTACGCTGTCTTGTGTGATCATATCCAGTTCCCTCCCAAAGGCACTGAATGCCTTTCCATGTACGCTGTGCGCATGACACGCGGCATGCACGTCAGGTCTCCGTTTATGTATGGCGCTGTGAATGGCAAATGCAGCAGCATTGATCGGCTGGTCTCCCTCCACGACCTCGCCCTCCTCATTGACCAATATCAAATCAGACACACGGATCAAAGAAAAGTGGGCAGATAGCGGGTTGAGCCAGAAGTGGTCGGTCAAGATCGGATCGCGTACGCTGATATGGCCGGCAACACCCTCATCGAAGCCACGCAAGGCAAATATGCGATATGCAGCTGCGAGATGTTGTTTGCGATAGAGGCGCTCATCTTCAAGGGACAAGAAAGTGGGGTATTTGCGCACTTTCAGCGCTGTGCCCGACTTTGTGCGGCCCATTGCTGCCACTGTACGGTTCTCGTCCGACTCGGCATAGTCCACGCGAGCGCCTGTCGTGATGGACGCTTGACAGGCCCTGGAAGATGTCGCTAGGGCACGATGAAGAGGCAATTCAACGCGTTGTGGGCGACATCTGAACAGTTGGGTGGCCCGGAGGAGCGACGAAGGCATCAGGTGAGCTGTAGACATGGTAAGTACTGGGGTTGGTTGTACATGGTAGGGAGCTGGACATATGCGCATACACGCACATTACTTTGTCACGGCTTCCCCGCCGGATATAGAAGACCAGACGGGTATAGCAGACGATAACCGCATGTTGGGAAACGCGATTGGCGACCTGCAGCTTGTCAACGGGAAGATGATGAGCACGGTTGGCTTCGTACCGAGGCTAACTAACGTAGTTAACGTGCGGGATCAGTAAGCTGGGCACCCCACCCAACCTGACCCGACACTCTACACAACCACCACAATGCCGCGACAACAACGCTCTATACAGACTTCTCGTGAAGGCAGAATAAGCCTTGCTATAGCTTCTTATCATAATAATCCAAAACAGTCTATTCGTGCTCTCGCGAAAGCTTTTGATATACCACAATCTACACTACACACGCATATCCATGGTGTCCAGCCACGATCAGAGACAGTCTCTGTCAACCGCAAGCTATCGCCTATTGAATGGCAGTCTCTCGTATAGTGGACCCTAGACCTTAATTAACGCGGTTTTCCGCCTCATATCATTAACGTACGACGAATGGCAGACGCTCTACTCACTGCGCGCGGCCAAGATCCACCTCCACAACCTATTAGCAAGAAGTAGGTGTCGCGCTTTGTCTAGAGCTACCCAGAGCTTTAGACAAAGTAGATCAGGAGATTTAATAGTTAGCGGGCTGACTATAAGGACCCTACTGCAATTGCAGCCTGGTTTAAGCTAGTAGAAGAGACGCGCCAGACGTACGGCGTCCTAGACCAAGATATCTACAACTTTGACGAGACTAGGTTCGCGATAGGCGTCGCTGGCATGTCTAAGGTAGTCACAAGCTCTAACAGAGTCGGCCGAGCAGTTGTCGTACAGCTAGGCAATCGCGAGTGGGTTACAGCGATCGAGTGCGTTAACGCGTCTGGCTGGTGTCTGCCACCGTTAGTGATCCTGTCTAGCAAGGTCCACCAAAGCAGCTAGTATAATAGGCTCTTACTAGACTAGGCTATTAGCGTCTTAGACAGCGGCTAGACAACTAATTAGCTTAGCGTAGAGTAGGTGAAGCACTTTAATTACTATACAGCGGCTCGTACAGCTAGGGTATACTGTCTCCTTGTCCTAGACGGCCACAGTAGCTACGCTACGCCAGAGTTCGACTATTACTGCGCTAAGAACAAGATTATTACTCTCTGTATGCCGCCTTACACGTCGCATCTTCTCTAGCCGCTTGATGTTAGCTGCTTCTCGCCGCTCAAGCGGGCGTACGGACGTGAAATTGAGAAGCTCGCCTGCTAAGGCGTTTACCACATTGACAAGATAGACTTCCTTACAGTCTATCAACAGATCCGGCTAATGGTTTTTACGCAGCAGAACATCTAGGTAGGCTTCCAAGCAACAGGCCTTGTCCTTCCTTGTCCCGATCGCATCCTGTCGTCACTTACAGTAGCCAGGACACCGTCTCCGCCACAGACAACTATAGATAATAACGCTGCAGCGCAGATAGAGACAACACATACAGTAGCAGAGCTTCGGCAGCAGGTGCGCTATCTCTAAGAGCGGCTACGCCGGAAATCAGAGAGCCTAATAAGCGTTGCGATACGCCAGCTTGCTAAAAGCGCTTAGCTTGCAATGTAATTAGCAGTAATTCTTGCAGAGGAGAACAAAAAGCTACGTGCAGATAATCAGCGCCAACGACAAAATTAGGAGCAACAGCGTCAATATATTGCTTCTAGTAGAGTGCTCTAGGTCTAACAGGCTTAGCAGATAGCTACAGAGGCAGAAAGGGTAGTTATGGGGGGTAACCAGAACCAGACTGGTGAGCGACGTCAGCGCGCGCCGCCGACGTGCACGAAGTGCCACGTTCAAGGGCATACTCTAACTTCATGCATAGCTAGATAATTAATTACATCTCTTAATTTTATCTAATATTATTGCGTTGTTGTGGCTCAATTGCGTAGAGCGTCAGGTCAGGTTCGGTAGGGTGCCCAGCTTACTGATCTGCCCAGCTTACCTAAGCATGCGTCTCCAATGTTCTCTTGAGGCACAAGACTTCCAGTCTTCCAATGAGTGCAACATAACCAACACATCCTCTGCAAATCCAAGACGATATAGCAGAAGCGTTTACCCTAGACCGATTTCCACTACCAGATACGCCGGTACGCCATTGACAGGTCTTGAACCACGCGTCGTAGACATGTGTAAATCACCCGTGGACCATTTGTACAGTCAATGACATCGAACGAGGTCGTTTTTGGAGTAGGCTACTTAAAGATTGATGTTTTTTTAGAATGGACGGTGTTGTTGCGTGCTTTGATGGTGAATGCGCCCGATTCTACTTCCGCCTCAATCCCCACTATATTCCAGATAACAGCAAATATTAAAATGCCTCGCAGGTGTCCTTGTTCTTCGACACAGAGTACGTAGCTGAGTGTGCATTCAACAAGATGCCATGCCTTCCTCACTGAAGGTCGTGCCTGCACTGACCCCGACTCCATGGTCTTGGCGCATCTAATTCACTCTCACTCGCCCAACTGTAGGGTCGTGGAGGGGCACTAGCGCTTGCCGCCATCTATAACTGCACAGCTCCGACAGCCTTTGATTTCTCTCAAACCACACCTTCCTCACATTCCTTCAGCCCAGGTGTTTTCGTGCAACACAGATTGAGTCTAGCCAACATGAAGTGCGCCTTCTTCTTCTTGATAGCCCTACTGTCGGCTCTTGCCCTCTCCGCTTCCACGCCCTCCGCACTCTCCCCACCTTTTGCGACGATTGATACCAGCCCCGTTGGTAAGTGACTTTGGGCAATTAAGCAAGCAATCACGTTACTGATCTAGGCCAGTGACATCCAATCCGCAACTGGGATTGGGCTCTGATAACAAGTACGTCAGTGGTGAGGACCTGCTTGCTGAACTCGCAGTCAAGACCGGTGAGAACGTGACTTGGTCGGTGGGTCTATACTCAAACGCGAGTACGCCAGAAGGAGGCTTCGCCAACAACGACGGGGACGATGGACCGGTTCCGAACATGGAGGGCCGATACGCCGTCGATTTGCGTATCGGCCGAAACCCCACCCACATTGGGACTTTCCGTGGAAAGCGACTCTACAACCGGATCTACAGTATGCTGAAGGACTGCTGCATAGCAAAGAAAGGCATTTCTATCCCGGGCTACTGCGAGACTACTCGACCCGAATGCAAAGAGCAATGCAACCTCTACAACGTCGTCTACAGTAACGGTCACTCAACGTACAAGGCGGATTCAAAGACGAGTCTCACCGTGCACTATTCGTATTTTAACAACCAAGATTACCCGGGCATTCAGGATCTCGCAGTAAGTGCAGACGTATTCACATATCAACGGCAGTGACTGACGTCCTAAAGTTCCGAATGGTCGCAAAGATCTATCAGACAATGGCAGACGACAACAACAACTGCGCATACTGGGACTTCCCGGGCACTAGACGCACCATGATCTGCTACGTCGCTAGCAAATTGGAACTAGCTTTTGCAACAAATGGCGGTCCAATTATTGGTGTTCTCAACGTCGAGCTCACTTGGGAAAAGAAAACCCCACACAACAGCTTTCATTGCGAAACCACTCAAAACGCCATCGACGCTCTGATGTGGGGAGAGAATCGGGACAGCCTCGCTGATACAATGTCATGGCCCAAGGACAAGATTCTTCCGTTTACCTTCTGTGCCGATTCTCCTTGCTTCAAACAGAGCTTGAAGATCCGGGAGCAGTGGTATGAAGGCTCTGGCTGTCAGCGTCCGCAGTGGCCGAATGGCTGCGATCCCGGTTCTGACAACAACAGCCCTGATCTAAACTGCCCACCTGTGCAGTAAGCCAAGACAGGCTCGCTTGGTGGTTGAGAGTAAAATGTCTTCCATTGCCGGAAATCTTGGAAAGTACATGTCATGACTTTTACGTAGACTGTAGATGAAACCGAGGTCTTCTAGTACCAATTCACAACATGAGCGAACCACTTGGAACCAATCACAGTCGCACGTTCCCCAATGACAGTGCGAGTGTATTTATGCCCAAGTCTAACTACATATTCCACCTAAAGAGCACTTACATCTCCTAGGTACAGTTGGAAATCGTCATCAGAACCAAGTGACTAGTCCACAGCACGAGATAGGCTAAACATCCAAGCCAGATTAGTGGATTTGAACTAGTCATTCAATTCTCGATATTCTCGATTCTTTAATTCTTAGATAGCCTCATCTGCGCCTGGAAATCTACGATGATGTCATGGCATGGCCCGTGTTTCCCGCCGCGCCTTCCATCACGTTGCCAAGTCTCAGACCACCCAAACCTCTGATAGAGGTACTTTGCGACCGGAACTCTATTTAAGAAGCTCTTCTCGCTGATCTAGTGATGTAGCTGTCCAGCTAACCACCTAGACTCCGTTAAACACCAATAGACTCTGCACATTCACCTTACCATATCCGCGCTCATACAGTAACGCGCGACCGCGATGAACCGGGAACTCCGCAACGACCATCACACTAACATCCTCAAGAGCAACGCCGGCTTTAACCAATAATTGCAACACCGCGCAAAGCGTCTCACCTGTTGCTAGTACATCGTCCACCACGACAACAGATGCGCCAACGGGGACGGCGTCTCGCTCCATCTCGATACGCGTAACCTTCTGCTTCGAAGACGACACAAAAGAGATGTGAGATCGTGGCTTGCACGTATATATGGTCGGTGGTGGAAGCTTCCCTTCTTCGCGAACCAGAACGAGAGGCTTGTCAACCCGTTCGGTCAAAGAAGACGCAAAGACGAGGCTACCTACTCCGACGCTCACGATGGCTTTGACTTTGTCCCAATTACCAGAAAACAGAGTCTGCAATAAGGATACACATCGACGCATCCCACCCTGCTGCTGAGCGATGTCAAGCACGTGGCGAAACTCGATACCTGGGGTTGGGAAGCTGGGTATTGAGCGTACCATGTCTGCAAGTTGCTGCAAGTCATCGTGAATCAAAGGTATGAGATTGGATCTGGCGAAGCTTTCGGCAGGCTCATTTGCAGACTTGTCGTTCTGGAAGATCAGGCTAGGCCGATGCTCCAGCTCCTTCATACTGGACTTGCTGGTATCCGCTCCACGTTCAATTCTCGTGTGCTCCTTGGCTTCTACACGAATCTCAACCAGTCTGCTCTCGGGCACCAGGTGAGCAAAGGATGCGACAGGTGCCTTGTCTCTCATACCCGTAATGAACAGCACATCAACATCTGCGGCTGTGGCATCGCGTACGGTGCTCGAGAAATGCTCTTCGGGTAGTTGAGGTCGTTTCTGCACCTGTTGCTGAAAGAATTCTGTCAATGGTGCGCGGTGCTCTTCCTTGTAGGCACGATCTTCCAGCAGGCGATCGAAATCAGCCCCAACAGCCGCTGCATACTCACGCTTCGTGGCATCACTGATGCTCATAACGCGCGAATTCGGGCCTTGGGCAGAGAACTCCGTATTGTTCCGGTGTTGCAAGAACAGGGAGGCCCATATATGTGCGCAGTGGTCTTTTCCAGCGCAACTCTCGCCAGTGACAAGGACGACAAGCTTGGGTGGTGGTGCTTTAGGTAACGGACAGGCATACGCTAGCATCCCATGCGGATCCATATCACGTTTCAGACGACCTAGTCGCGATCCGTTTGGTCCGAAGGCTCTGACCGCGAGTTCGGCATCTCTGGGATCCGGTCCGAGATCAACTCCGTAAGCTCCGCTGCTGAAGGGCAACAAGTCCTTTGCAAGATCGTATACCCACTGCACACAAGCGTTAGCAAGTGCAGTGCCATCTTCATCGCGTGGCCAAACGCCGGTGATGACGCATGCGAAACTCCACGTGCGACATCCAAAGGCAACAGCAGTGGCTGCGAGATCGCGAACCGCTCCACCTCCATGTAGTAAGTGGAGGTAACATAGCGGCGACGGACGAGTTTCCACAGCAGATATCAAGCGGGCAGCAATGCCCTCTTCCGAGATATCCTTCATGAGTATGCAACGTTTGAACGAAGAAGTCTTGCCGCCACCATGCCCGCCATGCATCCCAGACATGTACATCTCTTCCTCGAACAATTCCAAACCATCAACGACTTTAGACTCCGTCACCGGCCCCCAGATTTCTCCCATGGGTTCATGTCTGATAGCTGAAACATTGAAAGAAGGCTCCACTAGCTCGAATGTGGTCATTCCAAGTCTCAATTGACCAGCCTCATGGTACAGATACGCATCTGCTGAACAGTGGCGTTCAGATCGCCCCAGTCGTCCAGCGATTATTTTGTCGAACTGATTGAGTCGTTTCCGTGCGTCGATCTCATCGTTGAGTGGTAGCACCCAGTTCCTTGTCAGGTATTGTAGAGCAGGGAAAGCCTTGAACGTAACGCTCGTCACGATCCCCATGTTTGTTCCAGCACCTCTTATCGCCCAAAGGATATCGGCTTCGTCCGTGGGAAGAAAGGCGCCAGGTGGCCGATGTTGTTCTGGCACATTACCAATATAGAAGACTTCGCCAGATTTAACGCTGACCATGACAGCACCGACGATGATGTCGCAAGTTAGTCCATGGAGCCTGGTAAGGTGTCCTATGCCTCCTTGTAGCCATAAACCTGCACCGACGCTTGGGCGCGATCCCAGAGGCACTGTCAAACCTTCGCACATGGCTTGGCTTATGAGACCATCAGTCTTGCACCCAGTCCCTGCGATGACGAATGAATTAGAGATAGGATCTGGCTTGCCTTCGTCTCCAACGGCTCTCAGGATGTGTACCGAGTCGAAACCGCTCATATCGATCGCCACAACGTTAGGCCTGAGACAGTGCGTGCTATGGCCTCCCCCGATAACGGTCAAGCCGACGTTATATTGTAGCGCCCACCGAACGCAAATTTGAACGTCTTTGACATCCCTTGGTCGAGCAACATAAGCCGGACTGTGCAGACAAGCCTCTTTGTTCTTGACTATCTTCCGACCTTGCGGTACTTGCCACATCAACTCTGGCAAACTGTCGGCGTGTTCATTAAATACTGTCATGACCTCGGGTGCGCTGAAAATAAGGTACTCTGGGTATGCTCCGTCCCGACGACCCATCGAACGGCATAGTGCTCTCCACTGCGCTTGAACTGCGGTATTCGCCATCTCGTCTTGCATGCCGAACCCAGCCACGAAAGACGCGAACTGGTTCAAGTCTTTGTATCGGTCTGGAACGCCGACAACTCCAGTAGGGAATGAAACCGTGTAATGGCATACTAAGCCCTCGATATGTAGGGCGCCATCCCGATGAAAAACCGCTACTATCCCCCCTTCAACAAGCATCCCCAGAGCGCTTCCAATGAAACTGTTCTTCGGTTTCATGCCGTACATGCTGTGGCAAAACAGAACAATGTCATACTTTTTGAGCCGATAGTCTTTCTCTGTATCGCTAACATCGGAAAACTCAACAGGATGGACAGCAACCCGTTTGAGACCGGGAAGTGGAGCTTTGTTTTCGATCCCACCACTACCCTTGAGCCAATCTTCCAGCTGTATCGCAAAGACCGCATTGGGCTCGAAAGCAGTATAGGTTTCGATCTTGCGTCGCAAGCTCTGAGGAAGATCACCAAAAACACTTTTTGGGCCCGGTCCTATCTCCAGCACCGAGATGCGTGTTTCGGGTTCAGTATCATGGAGAGGCGCTAGGAGGTAGGATAGCTCGGGTATGATGAATTCGCTGTATGTTGAGCGCCCGGGCTCTTGGGAGAAGACGGAGAAGCCGGTGGCATACTGCTCGTCCGATAAAGCTTGTCTAGGGGAGTCTGCCGGTGTGAATTCGCTTGCTGACTTGAGTAGCGCTCGCTGTAGCGTCTCGAGAGTGGCCATTATGGCGGGATGGGGTGGTGTAAGCTCGTACCAAACTGGATGCTAACGAGGAGTGGTTCACAGAGAGCTAGAATGACACAGAACTGCCTTGGTGTGATCATATCTGAGGGCACCAATCAGAGAAGCATTCCGTTTGCTACAACCGTTTGCAACGGACCGGTGAACGATTTTTATCAGGCAAACACGCTTTCACATCGATGTCGTGGCCTCGTCTGTTTTGATTTGTCGTTGGAGGTCCTTCGCTGCAAGCAACGCATAGCCTTGCCAGCTTTACATATTGGCACTGGTAGGCCTCTTTTCACGAGCAATCACAATCAAGCATTTTTTTATTATGCGGCGCAGCAATGGTAGATAACGCTGTAGCGACATGAACGGTATGCGAGGTCGGCTCCATTGAGTGGTTGAGTCCGTGCTGCGTCATTTATGGTGTGATTGTAGGGGTAGGCGTGGCTTTTCTATGCCCGTATCTCGTATCAAGTACTGGGCCAACCGTGAGACGCTAGGATTAGAGGTGTGCATGTGGGGGATGAACGGTCGGATGAAAGCGTGGCCGAGGCTGAGAGTACGCGCTAGGCTGCTTAATAAGCAGTGATATGAGACACGATGATGTCACGCGTCACGGCTCAGTTCCACCTCCATCTACAACGCGTACCGATCCTTGTTGAGACAGGAAACTCCAAGGCTAGAGAGACGCATATTATTGATGTATCGAGACCTTATGAACTCCTTTTGTCACCGATGCATCTTTGCATGCTCTCTGGACCCTTTTGACGCTTCGCGAGCGCACCATGATCGATCCTTCAACGTTGCCTCGCTATATACAGACCTCTGCCACTTGGAAAAACAATCGTATTCTGGCATGAAACGATTTGCATTATTCTGTGCTAGACATGATGAGTTTCAAGATTCGCTTTGATAAGTATCACCGCCGGGTTTCCATCACCATACGTCCTCTTTGTAGAAGTTCTAGTATGCCTTGGCTCCATGTGCGATCTGGCAGCCTACAATATCCATAATCTTTAATTCTCTCTCAAGTTGCAAGCTACCATACAATCAGTCTTAACGTCTTCCTCTTTTCCGATCATGGTACAAGAGAATCCAAATGTTCCCCAATGGAAAACAGGCAAACTGTTAGAAAGGTATCTATACCAATCAACGCAGTGGCAAAGAGTGTCCACTTTTTGTCTCAACACAAACCATACTTCCGCCGCGACACCCATGCTTTCCGGAATATACACAGACTATATTGAACGCTCGCATAGTTGAAACCACTATTGATACCATATTGGAAGGCGATGGTGAAATCGTAGCTTATTATGAAGCTCACTGAGGCGCGGTAGCTCTACCAGGGTTGCCACCAGGGCGTGATATCATACCGATATATCCATGTGAGCGGGATGTTGTACGACATGCGATTAGACATAGCCCCTTCGACGCGATGCAGCGGGGAATCCGATCCTAGTGGTAGCAGCCATACCTGATCTTCCGCTAGTACCTCTGCCGTCTCCTCATCTGCCTTCTCTACCACCGTCACGATCATTAAACAGCAATCCATTAATCGTGACTGTGAGTATACGCTTTTGCTGTGCTTTGATTTGCTAATAGATACTTTGACTTTTGCAGCAATATGTCATCAAGGAAACCAAATTGTTGGCGGAATCCCCTTTGATGACGCAATCAGGTAAGCGGCATCCATGTATACACGGCGTGGACGCTTGCTCACTATGTTCACAAGTTCACAATCTTATTTTTCCCGTAAAATCTAAGTTCACCAATTTAGATCTCCTAAAAAGCTATGATGACTACACACTTCTCGATACCAGGTAATACATAACGTAATTGAGATATCCTTCCAACCTCCATTGTTTGTGTGCAGCGTATTATAGATTGTTAGTCCACGTTGTCGGATATGAAGGTTGAACTTCAGGAATTCCTCGCTTATTCGAGTTTAGGCCATCTATGGTAGGGAGAGATGATGAGTCAGGTTGAGTGCTGGTATGCCGTGGAATACACTGATTGCGAAACACGGGCATGATGGAGACGGACCAGTAGGACATCCTATGCCAAGAGTCGGAGTTGCATGAGCAATCTGACCACTTGTCCCTAGTTGTTTCTAAGATAGGAAATGCATAAAGGAGAAGACAGGTACACAGACGCGTTATAGGTGCTAGAGGGAACAATATACGGTCACTATTGACGATCTGCCATTATGCGGGCATCATAAGCGTGATTGTTCCAAACAGTGTGAGACAATTCCAATTAACAGCATCTGGCACGAGCGGGTGAGGAGAAAAACGTCAGCTGGTGGAGACGGAAACCAGGACGCGGGGAGGGCTTGGCATGCATGGGCCACGTCTTGTGCTTTCAACCCGTCGCTTCTACACCAGCCATCGACTGTTTACGTACCACTCGCATCCAACGTAGCAATCTCTCGTCACATGCTTGCTTCATTCAGTCTCATAGTATCGACCTCTGGCGGCCCTTTTCACGCATGCCTTGCCGGTTTCTCTGCTCGAAAGCCCGGAATCCGCAAACCTAGGCAAACGATCGCCCGCGATCGCTTGAGGCACGGCAAGCCATGGCATCATGCGTTTGATCAGCCTCTCAATATTCTTAGTACCTGCTGTCATCACTCCCAAGAAGGCCATTGGTTAATTATGCAAGGCATTGCGGCCAGCCAGGAGCTCTTTCACCAATTGTATCAGGATGCGCTTGATTGCTACAGGGATCCCGGCTTACGCAAGCTCTCCGAGTCCGCAGAGAATCTGTCGATATGACTATACAACACGAATCTTATACACTGTGATACAGGAAAATACCCAGGGACTTCATCTCGTGGTTTACAACAACCTTATTCAGTGGGAGTTCTCTACTGCGCAAAGCATCGCTGAGAAGTATTGGGAATTTACATGCCATCGACCTCGGTCGTTCACGGGCGCACACGAAACGTCACGCGTAATCGAAACCATCTTCATGCGATTCTGAAAAGGATTCTCAAACAATGATCAGGACTAAATGTTTACAACGAGCGACGATACCATTCGCTCAAACCTGTTTGGGCGAAGCACATCCAACGATACCCCAGATGATCGTCCATCATGCTGAAGAGTTGGGAGAGGCTTCGAGAAATGTCACAAGCATGTTCGGCGGTTCTGGCAGCTGTCAGTGGTTTCATCTACCAAGATGCCTTCCGTAATAGTATCGGACCACGCGGCGCGTCGCACACGCCTGTTGGACGGTTGCTAACAAAGCGTACAGACTAAGCAGCTTCATTGCGAGCTTGAACCTCAGGTCGCGGTATAAGTATCCAGGCACCATCACCTTATCATATCTTACCATCATCAACAACTACCAAGTTATCCAGTCTCCAATCTCGCATCTATTCTGTCGAGTCTGGTCACTCATTTTATAATCCCTTACCAACTTTTCTTCTCAACGAAGCAGGTGTCTTCACCCTTACATTCATCTTTTCAACCCATTTTCAAGATGAGATACTCCCTGATCACCGCTTCCCTTATTGGCTCCGCTTTCAGCGCGCCGGCTGTCTATCGTCGTCAGGCTGGTGGTAACGTCCAAACTTTCACAGGTGCTCTTGGCGGTATCGCAGCCACCCCCGTCACTGCCACTGGCGATGCTACCCGTGGCTTTGAAGTCAAGGGTGACACATTTGTGAAGGAGGCTGCTGCGGTAGCGAGGAGCTGTGATCAACAGTTCAATGGCTGCTCCAACGCGGCAAATGGTGGTGATGCGACATTGACAGTGGATCAGTGCACAGCACAGAAGAGTAAGTTGATACCAACATCATTCACTGCGATTTGAACTAACACAGACATAGCTGCTTGCGACGCTGCTGCCGGAGGTGCTGCTGGTGCTGCTGGTGGTGATGCCGCCGCCGCCGGTGGTGCTGCAGCCGCTGGAGAGGCTGCCAACGCCAACGGCAATGCTGGAGCTGCCAACGGCGCTGCCGCCGCCGCCGGCGCTCAGAAGGGTGAAAAGGCGAATGGCGGAGCTGCCAACGCTGGAGGTGCAAACAATGAGGGAGCCGCCAATAATGCAGCCAACAATGCTGGAACTGCCAATGCCACTGCACCTGCCATGGGCGGAGCCGCTGCTGGCGGAGCTGGAGCCGAAGCTGGGGCTGGAGCCGGAAATGCCGCTGCTGGTGGAGCTGAAGCTGGAGCCGGAGATGCTGCCATGGGCGGAGCTGCTATGGGCAAGGGCAAGGGCAAGGGCAAGAACAACGGAGCTGCTGCTGGCGGTGCCGAAGCTGGGGCTGGAGCCGGAGATGCCGCTGCTGGTGCTGCTAACGCCACTGCACCTGCCATGGGCGGAGCCGCTGCTGGCGGAGCTGGAGCCGAAGCTGGGGCTGGAGCCGGAAATGCCGCTGCTGGTGGAGCTGAAGCTGGAGCCGGAGATGCTGCCATGGGCGGAGCTGCTGCAGGCAAGGGCAAGGGCAAAAACAACGGAGCCGCTGCTGGTGGAGCTGGAGCTGGAGCCGGAAATGCCACTGCTGGTGGAGCTGAAGCTGGAGCCGGAGATGCTGCCATGGGCGGAGCTGCTGCAGGCAAGGGCAAGGGCAAAAACAACGGAGCCGCTGCTGGTGGAGCTGGAGCTGGAGCCGGAAATGCCGCTGCTGGTGGAGCTGAAGCTGGAGCCGGAGATGCTGCCATGGGCGGAGCTGCTGCAGGCAAGGGCAAGGGCAAAGACAACGGAGCAGCTGCTGGTGGAGCTGGAGCTGGAGCTGGAGATGCTGCTAACGCAGCTGGCAAAGGAGCTGGCAAGGGCAAAAACAATGGAGCTGCTGCTGGCGGTGCCGAAGCTGGAGCTGGCGGTGCCGACGCTGGTGCTGGCGGTGCCGACGCTGGTGCTGCTAATGCAGCTGGCAAAGAAGCTGGCAAGGGCAAAAACAACGGAGCTGCTGCTGGTGGTGCCGAAGCTGGAGCCGAAGCTGGAGCTGGCGGTGCCGACGCTGCTGGAGGCGCTGCTAATGCAGCTGGCAAAGGGGCTGGAAAGGGCAAGAACAACGGGGCTGCTGCTGGTGCCGGTGCCGAAGCTGGCGCCGCCGCTGGGGGAGATGCTGGAGGCGCTGCCGACGCTGGCGCTCCTAATGCAGCTGGCAAGGGAGCTGGTAAGGGCAAGAACAATGGAGCTGGAGCTGGAGCCGGTGCTGGTGCAGAAGGTGGTGCCGCCGCTGGAGGCGCTGCTGGAGGAGATGCTGGAGGCGCTGCTGACTCTGGTGCAGCTAACAGTGGAGCTGCAGCAGCCGGTGGTGCACAAGGTGGAATGGGAAAGGGTGGAGCCGCGAATGCAGATGCTGGAGCTGAGAATGCCGGCTCTGCCGCCGCTGGACACGCATAGGTATTATCAACCATGTAAAGCACGAGTGTGTCCACTCATTTCCACTCGGGCGAACTACAAGCATCTTTCCATTATTACCTATCTCAACAAACCACGACTTTACGGTAGAGCACCATTGTCGATTGGATCTCCTGGGCTAGTTGGCAAGATACTTGATTTAAAGATAGAAATAGAAATAGAAGTACTTTTGCAAGAAGTTTACTGTAAGCACCATCTTCATTTGACTAATGCTTGTGATGTTTTGATGTATTTTATCCGGTTCACGAGAAACGACGTGGCCGAGTCTTTTGCGACGATAGAACTTTGATAACTTCTTTCTTTATATTTACGCCTCTATATACACGCTGTAGCACGTATATAAATTATCACCTACTTGCTTTTAATCTTCTCTGACTCATAAGTGCACATCGTTTCATTTATCAGTCTACGAGGTTGAGCTCCTAGAGCATCTAGAAACTCTTTGGTGGAAGTACTCTATCTGTTTCTTCGTTGTGCCCTAAAAAACTTATGTCGTTGAATCCGGCATTTGAATTTCACTAATTGCTAAACAAAGATTAAGTACTCTTTCAAGAGATTGTGTATAATCTGGTCCTGTAATTATTATAGATCTTCTAGATCTCTCTTTAGTTCTTAGTTACATCTCCACAGCCAGCTGTGGAGAAGAGGGATAAAGGTGCACTAAGTAGAAGTATGTGGGGTTTGCTCGAACTGGCGTTGTGCGATGTTTTGTGTCAGTGAGTCAAGAAGACGCCGGTAGACGAATTATGTCGTTACTCGTCATCTTGGGAGCTTTCTTTCTTTTGCCTGTATTATTGACACAATTTGTCATATATTTGCGCATGTCCGCAAACCACGAATAATATTCTGAACACAGCAAATCTATCTCAGAATCACTCGAAAATGCACTGAAACAGCGACAATAATATCGCTATACGGGATAGCAAATTTTCTCGGTCTTTTCGTCGGTTGAGCTTTGTGGATCTGTTACGGCTATGGGATTCGTACGAGAGACGCGACATTAGGAAGAGACACTAAGTTAACGTGTCAACCACGTTCTCATGCAAAACACATTTTACTGTTTACAATCAATTATAGCTTTTGTCGCCTTAGCCGCAACACAACTTCGTTCATCCGCTTCATTGTCGTTACAAAAAAGGCTATTTGTCAAATCCGGGAAAGGCTTGGCTGTGTCATCGACCGTGCTGCGTTCTTCAGATCGTGTGGGTGGATCTCTAAAAAAGGAAACAGCCAATGCTTCGTTCGATTCATCCCGCCAAAAGAAAGTCTCACCTGGGTGACATGAACATGAAATGAAATACTTGACACGCTAGTATACCAGAATTATCGTAGGCGCTAGATATACCTATTAGAAATGACATAGAGGGGTTCATCCACATACATGGGCAAATCGTTTTTAAATCGTTTTGGCAAACCTTAAAACGTTAACGCGTTTAAGCAAAAATCCTTATAACGTTAAAGCGTTTAACGATATAAACGATACAAAAACGATATAAGATACATCATGCCAAGACCGGGTTATGTCCATTCTAGAATCTCCTCTACCTCATCCCTTATCATCTCTGCTTCGTCATCTTGCTCTGGTTCCATTGGTAGACCCATTCCGTTGAGAGAACACGGTTTTATGTGGCCTTCCCTAAGCCAACTGCCAATGCACTCGATCTTCTCAATGTTGTCGCAAGTGAGCCTCGACCGATCCCATGAACAGGTTCTTCTTGCACCTGAGAATGTTCTCTCTGGCTCGGACGACTCTGCAGCGATAGAAAGAATAGAGATAGCCATGTTGCTTAGCCTAGGGTAGCGCTGCCGTTGCTCCGATCGGCACCACCATTCAAGAGGGCTACAGTCGATTTGTATTACTGGACTTTCTGCGAAAATTTTAAGATCGTCGCTGTTTGATTGATCTGCCGCCGCAACTGACATCTGTTGTAGAATCTGATCGAGAACGGCACCGCGTTGCTTTAAAGGAGGAGCCATTTGTTGAGAAGCTGTAGGGCTAGCTAAAGGCAAAGCGTCCTTAAACTCATTCACCCAAAAGTTTTGAGCAGCGTTAATAGCTGGTTCGTACCATTCGGCTGGCCAGTTCTTCTTGAGATATGCTGCTCTACTTGCGGGATTTAGAAGAATAGCGGAAGCGTACACCGGAACCTGATCAGTCATGTTGTAGTACTTCTCAAGTACGAACCAGCCCATCTCGATCGATCGAACCATGCGAAGGTCCTCATTTTCATCTTTAGAGTAATGTATCTATAAAGCTGTTAACCGAAGACTTAAAGTTCGGATAACACGTTAATGCTTACCTTTTGCTGCTCATAGTGGACTAAAAGAGAGTCCATAATCAAAAGAGATTGAGAGATAGACGATTTATCTCCCTCCGCGTATAGCGTTGCTGATGCAAATGGTTGTAAAAATGTATGTGCTTTTTGTAGTATATCCCAGTCGTCAGAAGTAAGACGGATCTCGTTAAGGTGTTTCTCGTTATCGTGCATAAAGACCTTAATTGCAGCCATCTTCTTAATAGCCCGATCCATAACTGAGTACCATGAAGACCACCGAGTCTGATTGTCAATCCCTAAGCGGAGGCCTACCTTGCGATCCCACTCTGCTGCATGTATACTTGAGTTGCGCAGCCAGACACATAGTTGATGTAATTTGCGTAGTGTAGAGATGTTCTCAATACCACAAAAGTCCTCATCAACAGACCCATGGCTATCAACGCTGCGTCTTCGGCGAGACAACCTTTGTCTCTGTGAGGTTTGTGGAACAGCTTGGGCTTGGGCTCTAGGGTTTCTCTGTCGAGAAGTAAGAACGCTTGAAAACTCTGCGAGAAGCTCTTCCCCCATAACATCCGTTACGGCGTCGAGAGCAGCGGTAAGAGCCTCCTTAGAGGATGCAAGCAGGAATGCCTGCAAGGATAAATTGATAATATGACCGATACATCGGATACGGCGCTCTTTAGCAGTAAATTTAACCTTGTTAATATTAGCACCATCGCGTAACTTAAGCAGCGAAGGCCGATTTTTATATTAAAAGCCATGCTTACGTTGTGCTTAGTTCGAAGGAGGGTTTCAAGATGCTCCAAACAGGTATCGTTAGATGTTGCGTTATCACCCGTATGCCAGCCAACTCTAGACTGTATCCCATATTCCTCGAGGGTTTGAAGAAGTAAGTGTGCTTGCTGTTCTCCAGAGTGGCTGTAACGACATTCTGGCAGTCCTAAAAGAGCCTTCTGAAGCTTATATTCGTGATCGACCCACTGTGCGCATACAGCAAGGAGAGATGAACGGAACGGTGATGTCCAGAGATCTGTTGATATGTGGATAGGACTCACAGCCGTCGATAAGCTGCCTTTAATTACATGGCCTTTATAAAGCTGATAATTCGAGGCGATAAGACGTACGGCTGTACGTCGACTTGTGATAAGCTGGTCTTCAATAAATGGATTGCAAGCAAGCGCTAGATCCCTCATTTCAGACCATTCGATTGATGAAAAGGCTATTCGACGTCGAGTCAGAAGACCGACAAGCGCATCGCGATACCCTTGTTCATTGAAGGCGTTGCGGATAATTGTCTGATCAGAGACAGTCCTAAACACTGAAGTGATAGCTGGTTGCGACGACGAAGAAGAAGTTTGCGAGGGCTGAGAAGACTCTGACGTTGTATGATATGCTAGAACATGGTGGATAGAGTTTACTCGGTGACTGCTAAACCATGAGCGACAGCGTTTGCACACATACTGCTTTTTCAAACGCTGGCGCTTTGCATTGCTGGTGTTACAGACAGTTTCGGTTCGTATAACAGCGTCAAAGTGTGGCGGCGTTGCGGGTCTTCGCGACGGTGGCGTTGATATCGCACTTGCTGACAAGGTATTCGATGACATAACGATAATAGATGCTATAGATAATGGATTTGTTGAGATTTCAGGTTAGTGGGGAGTGGTTGCAGAGTTTTTGAGATGCAAAGGTGGGGTGCTTGGCGCCAAGCCTCTTATAGCGTTTTTAAATCGTTCACGCGTTTAAGGATTTTCTTAAACGCGTGAACAGTTTAAGCTGTTAAAGCGTTTTAAAACGTTTTAAGCTAAAACGTTTTACGCAAACGCGTTAAGCTGCCCATGTATGTTCATCCATACTGTCGCTGTCAAGTATTAAGGTTTCATGTCACCACCTAGGTGTCATAAAAATACTTGACAGTGTGGGTAAACAGCAATTAATAACATGTCTGGCGACTACAGTCGTCTTTGTACACTAGTATGTCAAGTATCTCATGACACCTAGGTGTCCCCCAGGTGGCCTCCTTGGTCTCCGCGTTCAGGGTGCATGATCAATTCATTTTTGCAAAAAATAGCAAAAAAAAGAATGAAGCTCTTACGAGCTCCGGCTTTCATGACTCAGCCGAGGTTTGAACTCGGGACCTTCAGTGGATCTAACTGCATGTTAGACTGACGTGATAACCAACTACACCACCGAGCCCTGTTGTGATGAAATGATTTAAACTACTTTTATAAATATCCTGAATTTTGATGGTGCTAAAATGCTGGTGTGTAGGTATTGTGACAACCAGGCGGATGTCGGAATTTTTTCAATGCGGGGTAGACGCAGCGGAACCGCTCGACTCGCTTCGCCCCCACCTGCCACCAACACTGACGTCACGTTCCAAAAACGTCCATATGGGTGACACACAATACTTGACAGCGACAGTGTGGGTGAACCCCAGTATTCTATTACTGATAGGCATTTCTGGCGCCTACAGTGACTTTTGTAGGTATACTAGTTGGCAGATATCTGTCACCCAGGTGATCCTCATTAGCATGCTCACCTATACATGTACCACCGGTACATCACGTGTGAATGTGCTCACTTTCCTTCACTATCACTGACTTCAATATCATGCAAAATCTCTCGGCGCAAACTTACAATCTGACTCTGCGATCTTGGTTTCATTGCGGGCGCAAAATGAACTCCAGATATGATGACAATTCCCACGTGAAGGGGACATACAGTACAAGGTAGTGTTCCGGATTTGCAGATCTCAAACAGGGATCAACTAACACATCGTGAGACTGAGTGCCGTATGCCTTTGCATGGCGGAGAAAACTCCTCTCAGCCACAGGCGCACGTGAATCATTGGCAGTCACACCAAAACCACGCTGAGGGTTGCCTAAGTATAGTGGCGGCGAACATGCTTTGTTGTGGCCTCAATGCGTGCGCAGCTGCTGGCGCGAGGTGGCTGGCTGCTATAAAGGTGCACATATCGCCTGTGGTGCGCATGTGACGGATGAAGCGAAAGTTAAAAGACATGACTCTCGTGGTCGAGACCCACAAGAGCGAAGCTTGTTAAAAACAAGAAGACTACTGACAGCTTGGAAACGTTGGCAGTTTCTGGGTGTGATGAGAAGGTTGGGCGGCGTACCACTGCAGGGCTTCTAGAAGTGTACCGTCCGAATGGGTATTGGTGAGCGCGCTGTGAACGGCTGGGTAAAATGTTTCCTCGCCCGTCATCAGAGAAAGGTTCCGGTGAGAAGGCGCGTTTGATGATGCTTCAAATCAACAATTGCCCCGAGAAGGTTCAGGAAGGGAAACGACCACCTAAGGCCACGAAAAGAGTTTCCACTCCGCTCGTGTTTGTGTGCAAATTCGCATTGCGGGTGAGATCAGCTCGGGATCGACAACGGCGCGTGCAAGAGGCTTAATACTCCGGGTCAACGGCCGAACATCCTAATTCAACATCGGCACTTGAAGGACGCGCATCCTCTGGCGAAGGCTGCGATATCTCTTGGCCTTGATCGCTTACGTCTGCGAGTCCTGATACGATGAACCCGTCCTGCCAAGTCGTGAATATGTGACAATGAGGCCACGCTCCCGGGAGGCTGTCGACAGGCGCACGTCACATGGGAGGTCCCGCACTGTCCAATTACAACTAGTACCACGTCTAGGCTCATGCTTTGGTTCCAGCTTGCGTCTGGGGGCACGTCGTCGATTTCGCGTCCCCATAGCCAAGAAATCGAGATGTCGCACCTCCGTAGGAGTTCCAGCCTCAAAGGAGCACGCTAGCCCGTTTAGTACGGAATCACCTAATAACGTCGACTTCTCAAACCTGGCACGGCAACTCTCCTGCCGGTACCCTCGTCTTTGGTCCCGCTGAAGCATTTTGATCTCCACACGGGTCAGACGCCAAGTGTTGCGCTGAAGGCTTACCCCTTCGAAGCTCATTGCCTAGCGCTGTCATTCTTGGCCTTTGGCCCCCAGACGAACGCTGTGGAGGAAGGCCACCTAGGGGCCGGCCTAAGGCACTCCCCCGTTGCCTTGGGCATTCAGGAACCGGCGATCGATGCTCATCTGGGTGGATGAGTCCCCTTCCGCTGGACTGCCTGCATCACCGTTACTTGGCAAGCCACACAAGAAAGTCGAACCGTCTTGGAACCACAAGCATTGTACGGCTTCCTTCTCCACCTGTCATCGCTTTAGATTGCATCTTGGCTTTTCTCTGAACCCCCAAGAAGTTCTTGATGCGCCCAGAAGACTACGGGACGGTTCGACGCGGGCGGTCTAGCTTTACTACCAAAGGATCCCCAGTCCTCCAGGTGAGCTGCACTCTAGTGGACCTCGCGCTCCATTATCCATGGGGTAGATCGATTTCCGAGCCTGTCCAAGTTTGTGACAACACAGGAAGCTGCGGCCACATGCAGCCTGAAAAAAAGTGGCCTCATAGTTGAGAACGGGATTCTCATTACTCCTCAGGCCGGAACTCGAGCCTGAGAGTTCCAGGGCACCCATGCTATACCACCCGCAACTAGCATCGAGCACACGCTTATCGTCCCTTGGCTCCGCATCAGAAAAGTTTCGACCCAACATCAAACGGCCAGAGCAGCTTGGCACAACCGGTCTAAAAGCAAAAGCTCTGCCATGCTATGCTTACCGACACTTGGCGGCCGCATGAAAGTTTCACACCTAATCCAACTGGGCTAATACAGCTTGGCATAGTGCCACAACGATGGACGACCCACGAAGATGCTAAGGCGATTCATTCGAGGTTCATGTGTGTATAAGAAGCTCATGAGCCCACTTCTACTATTCTTCAGTCCGGTCACTCATCTTCACCAACCACCAAACATTCACTTCAATCCAATCGCTGTGCGACCAATTTCTATCACTTAGTACTACTTTTTGATTATTCATTTATACACTGAATCATCCATCCACCACCAATACTTATTACCCCTCATCTAATCGAAAGATCAACTTCAAACCGACAAGATGCTTGCCCAGAACGTCCTTTTTGCCCTCGTCGCCACTGTCGCTGCCGTCCCCCTTAACATCAACTTGGGTGCCTACTCTCCTGCCCTGGTAGTCGGTGATGGAGAGATCTCGCTGGGATCTACAGCATCAGCTTCAGAACTGATGGCTACTCTTGCTTCCGGAGCCGCAGCTGGTGGCGGTGGTGCTAGGCCCGCCGCTGCAGAGGCCGCTGCAGCAGCACCTCCCGCCAAACGCGCCAACCTTCGCCGCGCGATCGAGGACATTCTCGGAAAGCGCGCTAACGCTCCCATCGCCAAGCGTGAGCCAGTCGAGTCCAAGATGGACGCCGTCGAGGAGGCCATGCAGTGGATCAAGCGCGACCTCGCTGGCTTCAACGCAGCTCTCGGATACGCCAAGGAGGCCCTCAAGGACCAGCCCAAGGTCGAAATGGGCACTGAGAACGCCGGTGTCGGTATCATCGTCAACCCCGGTGTCAACGTCCCCGCTGGATCCGCCGCCGCCGGTGGAGGTGAGAAGAAGGAGAAGCGTGACGAGGTCGTCGAGGAGGAGGATGCGCCCAAGATGACCCTCGTAGCCATCACCGAAGTCTGAGCAGTTTACTCTGTTTAGTCCTTCTTCGGCCCTGGTTATTTCATCCAAAAGACGTCACTGCACATGGAGCAATTGCAATTTTTCCAGACGTCAATGTTGTTAATACTCAATGGTTTCTATATTTGAGTACCATCTTTTCTTTCACATTACATCTGCAGGATCCTGCGCAACGCGGACCGGATGATGAGGAGTTCGCGGTTAACGGTATTGATGGTTGGACGACACGTTGTGTACGGAAATATAGACACTTCAATCAATGATTCTCAATCATTCAGTTTCGCACCTTTGTTCTATTTTCCAGTGAGCCCTTCCCTATTCCCGCAGCCTATTAACAAGCCACAGAACAGGCGGACAGAACAGACTGACAGGTGCCCCTGTTCTGTTCCCGACTGCGATTCAGCTCGACTCGTTTCCCGCGCTTTCCGACTTCGCAAGTCCTTCCACGTTGACAGAACCGCGCCCAAGGCATACAAAACCCCTGTCCCATACACCTCGGAAACGCCCGGTTCCGTCCGCCGTACCTGCGCAAGGTGTCGCAGTCTGTCTCAGCAACACCAAGCTTCTTCTGCGAGCAGAACGCCTCTCCACCGCTCGCGGAGTGTGAAACGGTAGTATGCATTGAGTCAGCGTGTGGTATCACAACGGGCATGGCGTTGCGGGTAATGCCACATCGGGATCTCTCCGGTTGGCGAGTGCAGACGCCGGTTATGCAGCGGTGCGTACCCGGGCTATAGTAATTGGGAACATCGATATTGACCAACATTGCCGTATGCGCGCTTCTCGGCCTCATTTTACTTCTAGCCATGCGACATTGCTGTCCCGATGCGTTATTTTGTTTGCCACTGCGTGGCGATTGCATCGATTTGCGCGGTTTGTTGAGGCGAGAGGTGTCTCTTCTTTGTCCGTCGTCGTGGTTCCGAAACATCGGGCAGGGCGAGCGCGAAACATAATGAGCCGGTGGCCTTGGGAAGATGCGACGTTTTTTAGGCTGACATGTGTGAGCATGTGTGTTGGATGGCTTGTGTGTTTGCAATAACGCCACAACATTAAACCTTCAGCAGGGTTAGAGCTACACTTCTCTTGATGCGCACGTCGCCGCCCTCGATGTATGCGCGCTACCTTTGACGATGCGTTTGGTTCGCGACGATTCGCCTCTGAGTAGTGCGATATCGAGGTCCTTTGTGGAACATCCCGAACGGATGCATTGAGATACGGCGTAGGGGACAACCAGATCTATCTGTCGAGGCGTTGCCTGCGATCATCATCACGGCCAATACAAATATCTCGCAACCATTGTCACTTGTCCTCATACTCGTTTAGTGAGGATTATACCGATGCACGGCGCTGTGCTCGAATGTCGCTACGTTGCAACTACTTAGTGAATACCATACCGCACCACCTCACTGGACAACCTCATCCTGCAGACAAGATCTCCAGCGAGGTAAATATATATAGATATATGGAGTAAAGCCACAAAAGCGGAATTTCAAACCCCAGGAAGCTGTTGAGACGCCGTTTAGTTAAACACCCACATGATCTCCGACGCTACTTCCCCGCTACCCCGTCTCCCGCCTTTCCCTTGCCCTTTCCCCTAGAACGTTCCTCCAGTGGAATTGTTGGCCTGTTTCCCAGAATACCCTCCGTTGCATTCTCGTTTGCAGTTCGAGGTTTCTGGTCTGGATCCGCGCTGCCTTGATCTGCAGCAGCGATACTGGAGTGGGCTTTTGATGCCTGATTGGCTTTTTTGTCCGCAAAGGCGCTTCCCTATTGACTTTCGCGTTGGTTCTCTTAGAAACAAGACATAGTGACGTTGTTGAGATATTTAGTGATAGCCGTGAATTCTAGGATTGTCGGTTGTTGGGGGCAATGTTAACTATGCGATAGAGTTCCCTCCGACTTTAATATTGCTGCGAACACGAACGTCGTTTGCGAATGCAATCTATATGCTGAAATGACTCAACAGCTCCAAATATGAGTCAATGTGGGCATAGAGTTATGAGAGACATGACTGCGATTTACAGCGCGATGATCACTTTCTGGCGCTCAGGTGTCATCCGCCACATCAGCGGGGATAAAGCCCCAGCCGCTCTGATGTCACCAGAATGTATGATTCATCATTCCCAGCGTGATGGCACGAGCAGATCTCACAAGGTTTAGCAAGATTACTTGGAATTGGTATACTTGTTGAAAGCAAACGAGATGTAAAGAATGCGGTACAGAGTTATCCATCTATCTTAGCCGAAAATGTCCATCATTAACATCCAGTCTACAAGACTCATATGTCCCAGCCCCCAACACTCTCCATAGATTAATCATCCGACTAGTTCGTCAATTCGGAAATAGAATATCCGGTCTTTTTTCCACTCTGCATTCGCCGTAGGTGTCGGGTTCGCACCACCTTCCTTCTTGGAACTTCCGGCAGCGTCACCAGCAGGTGTGTTGGTCATGCGCGGGTTGGCTTTGGAGCTTTCACCGAGGCTGGGATTGATCTGGGTCGAGGAGGCCTGTTTTTTGTTTTCCTCCACTGTCGCGTTCTTATCGAAACCATCGTATCCTCTTGTGATTTCTTTGATACTTTCCCTGTGTGGATTATCCCTGGTGCCGAACTGATGACCGCCTAATTCTCCGGAACGTATGTTCTGGGCTGTTTGGCCAAGCCTTATCTCTGCTTGGTTTGGGGGACGAGTGGACTGGCCTTGGTTTGAGCTTGACATTGTAGGTAGATAATCCGTAATATCTGGATCTTTGGATACGTAGGTAAAGATGTGATAAATGTTATTATAATGACTTGTATGTAGTAGTGCTGTCAAAGTTCTTGGATACCCATCTTCCTCGCTGCACCGCGACCTTTTTATAACACCTCTGACTCTTCATATACCTCCCCATCCGTGCAGACTCCACTTCACTTCTTTGTTCGAAATCTTTCCAAGCGCAGGGTCTGACTTCATGGCATCATCGTGTACTTGAGTGCGAATCTTCAGCCGCGCAAACATGATTTCGTCAGCTTGTTGGATGTAGGTCTGATCGCGGTTCTGTGTCCCAATAGTATCGTTACTGTGGATCTCTGTGGGACCTTTCAGCTGCGCACAGATGGAGCTTTGCTTTGTTGCATGTTGGTCTGAGCGCGGCGTCGGGATCGATGTGATATTACGACTGGGTATATGCGTTATGAGGAGGAGGAGGAGAAGTAAACGAGTTATGTGTTATTGGACGTAGTTTGAAGGCGGATCTTGGAGACTTCAGATCGCATGAGGGTTGAAGAGGGTTGGGATGCAGATCTCGTGTTGATGTCAGAAAGTGTTGTTGCCAAGGCTTACGGAAACTCAGGGAAAGGAAAATAAAGCCAGGTATGGAAAGGGGGGAAGCGTGACATGTTATCCAGTACCTCAAAGTGTTGATCTTCCATCTAGGCCAGTAAATCGACCTCATTCGCGGCCAAAAAGCCGGATACACACCATCAAATCCCGTGACCAAGACTCATTGAGACTCCCATCGTGCCGCTCCTCATTCAGCATTGGGTCACATTATCCCTAGCCAAGTCGACAGAAATGCAACATCTCACCTACCCAGCCGAGAAGAATGGTACCTACACTTAGCCTCATGCGCCGCATTGCCAAGTTTCCAGATACCCTTCTCTCCAGCATACCGCGCACGGCAAAGATAGCAAAACTGAGTGCCACATTTCGGGTATCCACCTATACTAGTCAGCATCCGATCTGATTACATCTAAACCCTCTGCCACATCATCAATCGGTCCAAACTTAACAAGTCATGTAATCACACCCATCATACTTGTGGATCATAGCTCCACATTCCGGGCATGCGATAGACATCTTAGCGACCTCTGCTTGAGCCGCCTCATTTTGCTGGTCCTTATCGTTGTGAAATATGTACTCCGCGCAAGACTGGCCTTCGTGGAGAGGGACGGGTGGATCGTGGTTGGTGCACATGCGGTAGCGGCACTGGATGCAGGTGAAGATGGGCCCATGGGTGCTGTCGTGAACTTGACCAGAATTGCAACCTGGATTGAGACACCGCTGAAAGTTAGGGTCGGCGTTGGTTGCGCGGCACGTAAGGATGTTGTCGTAACTATATGTTTGTCAGATTTTTCTCCTGGTATAAATGGGTGTGCGGCTTACCGTTCAAACATATCCGATGGGGCTAGGTTGCGGATATCTTCGTAGGTGATACGGGTGGGGCAACCGGATAGACACTGGATGATTTCTGGGTTCGCGCCGTTGATCATGACTGACAGTCCTTCGATGAATCATGCTTCGCAGTATTCTGGCTCGTGTTCGCAAGACGTGAGGCGTGGTAGGTCGTGCGCGCAGAAGGAATTTCCACAACGACCACACACTTACAGAGCATCCTCTGAGCCGGGTTCCTCGTCGTGAATATTTCCTTGCGATGCGTCTGGCTGCAGTGATTAGTTTCCATTCTGTTCAATAATATGATTCCACTTACGATTCTTCTTCTGCCCAAAACACATCCCGTATGCAGCTTTCTCCCGACGTCGGATAGCTTTGGCTTTGTTCCGGCAAGTGATGCAATTCACATACCAGTTCCCATCCTTCTTCCTGTCCACGGGGTCCTGAAAGTGTTCCTCGCAGCCCTTGTAGGCAGGGGTTTGTGGGTCCGTGATTTCCTCTGTCAGTTGCGTTGAGAGTCGTGCTGACTGGAAAATCGGAAGAGCCAGCCTCTACCAACTAACCAGCTTGTTTATCCCCAAGAGCGAGCTGAACAGCACACCAGTGAGCGACGACCTGCGGGGAGGCTGACAGCCGCGCCGTACTTCGTGAACACGCAGATAAGAAAGGTGAACGGCTCTGAGGCGAGCTTTAGGGCCTGATTGAAGTAGAGTGATTTGTGAATAACGGGTTCCCCAAGCATTCAGCTATACAGAGATGCGTGAACGAGATACGCAGCAACCTAAGTCACAGCATAGATGTACTGAAGTACTCCAGGCGGATCTATCAGTGACTGCATGTGGCTATGGATGAAGCCTTTGGAACGCCCGAAACGAAGCCGTGAGCGATAAGTGGAATGCCAAAAATTTACCCGAGGAAAAGAAATGAAGTAGAGAAGGGGTAGAGAAGACATGTGATCTTGTGAGGGGAGTCATGAATGTGTTCGTTCCATAGATTCTGGAGATGATGGTCCTAGCCGCTTGATTGATGGAACAAGAGAAAAAGGAAAAGAGCATAGATGTGAATTGGTATGATCGAGTTGTCACTATTTAGAAATGAATAGACGGAGTTCTTTCTGTGTCGTCTTTCGTTACTCAGAGGGCGAGGAATTCGTAGGAACCTTCTACATGAAGCTCCTGTAGGGACCTGTGTGATATTAATACCATTTGAAGATAAGGAAAGGTGTTTATCAGACTTGGGATAAACAGTCTGAAGATGTGCTCAGATGGCTATACCAGACACCCAAAGATATAGCAACGCCATGAAAACCAAGATCCATAGATGATCGAGAAAAAAGAACAAAAGCACACCTCCTCACACATGTGCAAGTTGTCTTTTTCGGCCGTAGAAACTCGCCTCAGCCCCATGTAGGCTTTTCAACTCCCAAAGAATTTTTTCAAATAAACCCCAAAGTAACACCCTCAACACCCCCTGACTCAATCTCGTCTTGGCAAGAATGCCAAAAATTCTGGCAGCCTATCTGAATGATGCATACAGACCTTCTCATGCGCCGAATTGCCCACCTTCCAAATACCCCTCTCCCGCTTGTACGGTGCCCGACATATGTAACAGAACTCAAACCTACACCCCTTCCTTCGACCTATCATTGTTAGCATCCCTTCCAAACGGTCGACCACACCACCAGACAAACTTACAAGTCATATGATCACACCCCGCCATTTTATGAATCATAACCCCACACCCGGGACACTCTACCGCATCCCTCTTAACCGCCTCCCTACTCGCCTCTTCCTCCTCGCGCCTCCTCTTTTCATCCTCCTCCTGTCTAGCCTCCCTCTCCTGTCTCTCCCTCTCTACACGCTCCACATACACCGCACACGTCTCATCCTCGTGAAATGGCACCACAGGCTCATGCGCCGTACACATCTTGAAGCCACATTCCGCGCACCGGAAAATAGGGCCTGCGGTACCGGAATCGTGAATCTGGCCAGAGGTACAGCTGGGATTGAGACAGTAGAGAAAGGAAGGGTCTGAGCTGAGGAGGCTGCGCATGGTGAGGTCGTCGTAGCGGGTGAAGAGAGGAAGGGGCGCGTGGGTGTGAATGCCGGTGTGACTTAAGAAGGTAGTGCAGGCAGTGGAGGGACAGGGGACCGGGTTGAAGGTTGGGGATTTGGGTGGTGAGCCATTCGATAAAGCAAGTGCTGCAGA